TTGTTGCGAGCGGAGAGCGTGTGTAGTGATCGCTGTGCGCGCAGTGAGCATACGAAAACCAATAACTCCCAGCTTGCAGGAAGTGTGCTGCGTGAACGGTAGGACACTTCTTTCGGCGGTTCGCAGCAGCTGAGAGCGACGCCTAGGAGGAGGAGAAGGCGCGCCCGCCCGACGGCAACCGAGCAACGGCCGATCGGCGCGGGACCGGCCATGGCGGAGGTGAGTTTCTACGCACGCGTCGAGTGCGAGGGCGCAAACCGGGGTGAGTAACCCCCGGCGGGCGAGCACGTGGACCGCCGACGCGGTCGCAGGAGGGGTGAATGACGTCACTGGGCGCGAAGAGTTCCGACGCGACGGATAAGTTCGATTTGGTTTCGGGGGGTGATTTTTTGTTTTCTTTTTTTTTTTTCTCTCCTCTCCGCAATCTGCCGCGAGACTTATTGGGGTGGGTCCCGGCGCGGGTCTATGGAGGAAGAGGACAAAGCGGACTACCTGCACCTCTCTGCACCTGCAATCCTCAACTTGCAGGAACCTGTTGTGAAGCTTTTCTCGTTGGCAAAGGGCAGCCTCCTGAATTGCCTCGTTCCTGCGAAGCCTTCGCAGATAACGCATGATAACGTTGATACTATCAGGTTGAGATATAGCGAAACAATAATCACCTACAGACTGACAAGCCGTAAAGGTCGTGAGAATAAAGATCAGCCGAGATGGCCCGGGATCACTTGTGTATATTTAGTCGCCCTCTCGCCCACCCAATGCCGCCCCCTTACGTAATTTGGGCAATGAAACTTAAGTGCTGGGCTTGCAGGCAAGTGAAATGAACGGATTACTAACGACGCGGCTGACCCTTTTCCAGAGGACTTCTAATAACGTAGCAAACGAAGCGATTATTATGACAGATCCAACGCTGACACCTGCTGATGATGCTGATGCTGATGCTTTAACCACGTTTCCTTTCTGTGTGACGCATCGCGTTTTTGTATCATGGTGAGCAATATAGTGAAAAATCGTAATTTAGTTACATTCATAAAAGTTGAAGATGCACTACCCGAAAGTCGACAGCCACAGTTTAATTTTTTTATTCTTTGCATTAAATTCAGTGAGATAATATTTTATTATTAGATTAATATTCCAATATAATTTCCTGAAATTATGGAATATGTCATTCATGAGTTCCAATACGGACACAACTTCAAACATCAAATTTTGAATTAAACAAGTTCCAAATTTTCGCTGGCAGTTGAAATGCAGGTACATAGGTTATACTTGAGAATGTATGGATTATGGAACATTACACAAGAATTACTAAACGGCTTTATAGGATCCATGTTTTTATTGTTACCATTATTATTATTATTATTATTATTAACAATATTATAAACATTATAAAGAAGTGTTGTAAATTGAAATTCGTAATTTTCGATTCGCGCCCCTGTTGCATACCACGCATATATAAAACGTTAAGGTGAGAGAAGCAGTTAAATTACCAAGTGTTAAGACAGTTTAATTTTCTTCTTCCCTTAAACGTAGGGAATAGTATAGAAGGGAGAATGTATAGAAAACATCTTATGCGGTATGTTATAGAGTATATTGACATGAGAATGCTTGACAACTGTCCAATTGTGGTTTTCAATAGACGGTTAATGGTATTGTAGCCGCAGGTCTTCGTGTTTTGTTTTCGTATTATAATTCAATAATCTATTGGTTCTAAGAGATGTTAATTGCAAATAAGACTCTTAAGTTGCTGACAGTTATATATTTGGATTTTTAATTTGAAAGAAATGGGAATTTCATAATTTAGCGAGTCTCCAGGAAGTTTCAAAATAATACGTTTTTTCATTAGTCACGTGTAGAATTGAGTTGGTAAGGCATGTCAGAAAGGAGATCAGCCGTAGCAATGGTAAACGGGCTCTTGAAGAAATTGATCGCGAGTATGGTTAACAATATCGAAGATTTTCCATTAATGTCCGAAGTATCCATTAATGTCATAATGATTTCCCTACACCCAATAAAAAAAGTAACTTTTTCTCTCTCTATAATAATCTTCCTATTGGCAATATTTAGTGAAGTAATAAATGTAGCTTAAATTTCAATGAATTTAACTAAATCGATGATTGTTAAATCGTTAAACGAAATGGCTCACTAGACCTTTTAATTCGAGATAGAGAATATGAGCACATACACCTAGCCAGAAGGGAGGGGCTTCAGTCCCTAGCCCGGGATAAATTGATCTTGCATATATGTTTTATCCGCTCAAGGATTACGTCTTTTTGCAAGTGAAATGTAAAATGAACTTGCTTTGTATTAAAGTTTTAAAAAAATTAATAAAATATCAAGCTATTTCCTGTTGCGTTTACATGAAAATAGGTCAACAACATTTTGTAATGTTTCGCAGTGTTGCGGTAAATCTGTCAGTGCAGTAGAAAATGTTATGTCAAATGTTCCCTTGTGGCATTCCCTCATGGAAAATTGTCTGCTTTTGCTTACTTCATATTCTTTAGAGTGAACAGAAATAATCGTTGGAAACAATCAGCATAAAAAGATTCGTAATGTTATAAACATATTTAAAATATTTGATATCTTGGGACTGCATTTTATTGAATTCATCCGTGGTAGCTCAATTTGTGAGTGAACTTTATTTAACAATTTCTGCAAAATTAAATTATATTTAAAATGATCGTAAGATGCGAGGAAAAAGACGTCGAAACTCCATTCTTCCTTTTCCACCACCTAACAAAGCGGCCTGCTACCTGTGCCTTCTGGCGCGATTAAAGAGCGTGGTGGCGTAATTAAGCGCATCTAAATTTAGTTTACGTAGTTTGTCCTTCAGAATTTGGCCCAAACAAGTGTTTGGATGTCTAATCGGAATCTTCTTAAAGTGTGTGTATTGATAAGTTAATGGCGCTCATGAGGCTTCAGCCACCACTCCACACCACCTCCCTCTAAAGTCGATGACAGATATTTAGAAATGCAGCCTTTACTCATTTAACTAATTCGGGGGGTGGGGGCGGTAATAGCTAATGGCGCCCCCTACATCTCGAGAAAAAATCCTTGATGCGCCTGTAGGTTAATGGTTTATAGTCTCCGCAGTTATTAATATATCAATGCAGTTATTAATATATAATTAGAAAGTTAACCTACGCGGAAAACAATGTACATTATACTATTGTTTATGTTCATAAACATAAACCTGAATTGCAATTTATCTTTTGTACAACGTTATGTAAAGACCAAGGGAATAATTGTTAAATTACGTTAAAATATGAGCTGCTGCAATCTATTATTGCGTAGTGTAGACTATCTGTATTAGAAGAGAGCAACGGGGGAAAAAATCGTTGCTTTTGGAATTGAGAAACAAGAGGGAGGGGTGGAGTAATGTGGCACATAGTGACGACTGTTGTGAACGAACCGTGGGTGCATACTTCAGAGCTGTCTTAGAGGAAGTAGTGGGCACTGCTAAGAAATGTTTATATAGTTTATTAGCGTAGGGAAACCACAAAATTCACGTGCTTATTACGGACCGCTAATAAATTGCCATGTCCTTATTGTAGAACGAGCGTAAGGAAGACAGCGCCCACCAGGCGCCACCACGAGAAGACAAGCTGCCGCCCCCGAAAACGTCGCCGCCTCAAGTGGTGGAGGAGCCGCCCACGCCCACGCCCATGCCCATCCCGCTGCAGCCGCCGCCGCCCCCGCGCACCAGGGCGCAGCCGCTGCAGGTGCCCCAGGGGTCGTCTCCTCACCACCGCCTAGCGCAGCGCCGCGCGTCCGACGTCATCGACTCCGGAGGTGCCAGCCCCTCGGGCTCGCCCGGCTCGGGGCTCTTGCAGGGCTCCTTGCCGCGCGACTTCGTGCCCTACCCGCTGCTCAGCCCGCTGAGCCCGCGCTCGCCGGCGTCCGACCGCGGTTACGGGGGCAGCGCGTTCAGCAGCCCCGTCACGCCCGTGCGCGACACCACCGACGCCGCGCCCGCCAACCTCGACCCGGAGCCGCCGCCGCAGCCGCACAGGTGAGCCCGTCTCCACCCTTAGGGCGCCTTCCCACGGCGCGACCGCGGCGCGCTTCGTTCAAGCAGCAGAGCCCTTCCGAGGGGGGTGGGGTCTGGAGGGGTCGGTTTCGCCGACCCTCCGGCGACGACAAACAAAGGGACCGGAACAGGTAGAACGCTGCGGCCGCGGCGCAGTGGGAACGCTCCCATTTAAAGCTCTGTTCTGCTAGAGGTGGCGCGTGCCTCCTCCTCCGCTTCGCGTAGCTGGAGTTCGGAGTCGGCTGCCGCAGCAGCCGCCACCCGCTGCACGTGGGAAGGCCTCCATTCAAACCAATGCTCTGCAACGCGCCGCGCTGCTGCGAAGCGCGCCGCGGCCGCGCCGTGGGAAGGGGCCCTTTCCTCTACGAGAATGGCGAAATCCCACTGAGAATGAAGGAGCGTTCATTTCACCTCTGTGGAAATTACGCTAGTAAATTCAAAATTAAAATCGGAATACTAATACAACACTATCCATTGAAGACCTTCAAATACGCAGCAATTTTCCAGCAATTAAAACTTTAACATGCTTCATGGTTAACTTACTGACTTGCTCCTCAAACATGTGTAGTAAAAATCTTTAATAATTTTTTATCGGCCTATTCATTTATCTTAAATAACTTCCAAGTTTGAGACTGTTGTATTGTTATTGGAAAAAATGACTCGCCATGTACAATTTGTTTCAGAAAGAGCAAATAACATGAATAGTAACTTACAGTAGAATCCATATTTAAAATTTCAAATGATGCGGAAAGCAGGACTAAGTTGAAGTTGCTTATTTTAAGCTATTTTTGTTAAAAATTTCAGGTGAGAAGCAAAAAGCTCTTTAATGGTTCTAAACAAAATTGCGGCAACCTAATTCACTTCCAAAAATTGGACATTTTTGAGAGGACATTAAAACTTGCATGCTTGTTTGGAGCAAAAGGATCTCGAAGCAATCATGTTAAAACTCACTTTCAATTAAATATATCCAAAACGAGACGGTTTCATGCAATTATTTACTTAAATTTTATCAACAATTATACATTGTGAATTTTAGTTCAAAAAAATTTTTTTGTGTTATGGTAGTTATTTAGTCACTTTACAGAATAATCAGTGACAATAATTCAAAATTTTGCTTTTTAAAGAATTATTTTCATTAATTTTGTTTATTCAATGCTTTGCTCATGAAAAAAAAGTTTTAAAAAGACAAAATAAGAGTTGCATTTTAGTATAACAAAAATACATCAATTTTTGGCAAAAAAGATATAATCTTAAATGAAGAGAAAACAATTGGGTAGGATAATAAGGCATTAGATTGAAGAAAAATGCCCACAATCTAATGTTCACTCTATAAATGGTATTACATGGATTTACTAAACCTGTTGAAATTTTTGTATATTTTATTATATTCTATAAAGTTTAGAATTCAAGGTCTTCCCACTTTACTGACAGACTTTTTGAAACCTCAATTTTTGCTCTTTCTTTTCCCCCATTTCTGTAAATAAGAAGTAAAGTATTCAAACAATCTGCAATATTATGTAACCAAAGGATCTTTCTCAATTTAGTTTTAACAAACTTCATTAAAATGTTTTATTTTTTGTGTGAAAATTGGGATTGGAAAAAACCTAGCTTCTTAGCTCCAGTTTTCCCTTCTATTTATTGATTTTTCATTGAATGACAATTTTCTAAACTGCTGAATTTTGCTTGGAAAGAAAATAATTAATAACATTTATTTGTTGTTTCTGTAGTCATGGTACTGTGCCAACAGCAATAATGGCAGTGGAAAGAGATGCTGAAGAGTATAATATGAGGCACAAGCGCCGAGGACGTGCTGTAATTATTAATAATGATGAATTCCAAATGGTTGGCATGACAGCACGTGCAGGATCAGATGTTGATGTCAAAAACTTGAGCGAGTCCTTCGAAGCTCTTCAATTTGAAGTTCAGATCCATACGAACAAACAGTTTAGAGAGATTCAGGAGATAATTCATCAATGTGAGTAATTTTTTTACGAAATTACCATGGGATATCACTGGATTATTATTTCTTGACATTTTCCATAACAATCTTTGGCAAAACTGCCATTTTATCCGTATTGTAATTTCAAAAATAAATATTTTATTGCTTACAGAGAACTTTTGTATGTTTCTAATTCCTTTAACATAGGTTTTTAATCATCTTGATAAAAATAATATAATACAATAATATAAAAATAATAATGAACCATTAATTGTTTGTATGTATTTGTTTATTAGTGGCTGCTGAAGATCACACCGATGCAGATTGTATAGCAGTTGCTGTATTGACACATGGTTTAGGTAATAATTACCTATTGGCACAAGATATTCCATATCCAGTACACACGTTATGGCAGCCCTTTACAGCTGACAACTGTCTTACTCTTGCTGGGAAACCTAAGCTGTTCTTTATTCAGGCCTGTCGAGGTGACAAGTTAGATGCTGGTGTCAGCTTAAGACGTAGATCACGTACTCAAACTGATTCTGGAACTGATTCTTATAAAATACCGACACATTCTGACTTCTTGCTGGCGTTCAGTGCACCAGAGGGTAAGTATCTACCTTAGTATGTAAACAAAAATGTTTATAAACATTAATGCAAAATACATTTTTTGAAATGTTCTGTGCTATGTTTTTGTTTAAATTCATTTCACAAAATTCTTAATGTTCAGATTACATTAATTTGCAATTCTGTTTTTTAAAGGATTTTTTTCATGGCGAAATCCTGAAAATGGCACTTGGTTTATCCAATGTCTCAGTCAAGAATTAAAAGCAAATGCTCAGTCCATGGATATACTTAGATTGTTGACACGTGTTTCACGTCGTGTAGCTCTTGATTACGAGTCATTTAATGATCTTGTTCCTTGGGAAAATCAGTGTAAGCAGGTGCCATCCTTCACATCCATGCTCATTCGTGACCTTATTTTTCACCCAAAGGTAAGGTATTTGCTTTTTACTACTCATGCAGTTTTCTCAGGCTGAAAGAACATTGTGCACATTCAAAACCATTTTTTATTTTGCCATGTATGGCTAAATTTTAATTTTTAGTTTTTCTTTTCAAAGGTGTGAAGAGCTGTTTTAAGGACTCCCAAATTTCCTGTTATGTGATAACAACTGCTCAAATCTTGCCTTCTCATTTTATCTGAGAGGCAAAAGCCACTGCACCGCCAACATCTCCCTGTTGATCTCTGAAACTAGCGACTGGTTGTGACTCTTTCCAGGGAAAAAAGTCATGTGCGAGGCAGTTGGTTAAAAGACTTGTTGTGTCAAGACAATCCTTGGTGCCAGTGGATGTTTGTTTTATATGTACAAAATTTTCAGATTATAATAAATTTGTATCGCTTCTTTTGAAGTGTATCATCATTGTGAATAAAGTTTTTTCTGATTATTGTATTATTACAAAATCTTTCTTTGTTTTTCCTTCATGCATCCTTAATTGTTCCTGAAGGCACTTCATAAGTGTAGGATATTAGCAATATACAGCATGCCACTCTAGGCTCTCTGCACCTAGCTGAGTCAGGGCTGCCACCACTGCCATTTCCACACTCAACTTTGTCGCCCTGCAGGTATGGAATGTGGGCTATCACCCCACCCCTACCCAAAATACTTTTGTGCCACCCACACACTGCCTGGTACTTGCGATACCAATATAATTTCTGTTGGTAGCACACCCATGCTCATGGTGTCACTGCAGAGAAACTTTCCTGGTGCATTGTATTAAAAAAATTCAGAATTTCAGGTTTGTACAAATTGCTGTTTGGGTTAATAAATTATATCTTGTCATTAAAACAACTTTTTAAATTTTAATAATTGTAAACGACTTTCTTTAAATTTAAAAAAAGTTGTGAGTTTTGTTATATTAAATTTTTTCACATTAGGTTGAACCTAAATACACAATATTGGTAAAGATTGATAATTCATTCACTATGGAAAGAGAACATTATGGTAATAAAAAAAATTATGCTCCAGGAAGGAAACTGCTTTGAAGTGAAAATGAAATATATTTTGGATATTTAATAAGAAATAAGTTTATTTGTTTATTAGTTTATTTTTATATTAATTTCAGAACCTAAGACACATACCCTTCAATATAAAAAATGTGCCTTTTTAATCATATAAAAAATATTCAAGCGTATATCTTGTACATTGTATTCAAATAAAGATTTGAAACTTTCACTAATAATTTGAAACTACTTTTAATTAATGGAAGTTGGTAGTTGCATTATATTGTAGGTAAATTGCTTTCTAGTTCTAGTTGTACTTTAAGATCACAAATCTCACATCAGTTCATGATTTTATCAACTTTTAATACTATACATATAAAAAATGCTTAAAAATATCGCCATCTATAATAAAACTATTTTTTTAATATTTGCAAACCACTATATCATAAATATATCACAAACCGAATTATATTACTAACGCCCACTCATCGAATCTTCTATTTTTCGATCAAGCCAGTCACGGAAGTAAGCAACGCGAGTGTAAACCCCGGGTTTATTCGGTCGGCCACAGCCAAGTCCCCAGCTAGTAACGCCAACCAACGTAAAGTGACCTGCAAAAGAAAATTGGGTGTAATTAGAGTTAGCCGTACACACATTCACTAAAACTTGACTCGTTTTACCCCACCCCCTTTCCGATTGTCCTCTATCGGTACTTAAGAGAGGTCAATCAGTATCCCCGCCGAAGTCACCGCTTTCATTGGTACAATGTCCTGTGAAAAGGCCCGCGCTCCCAAAACATAAGAGCGAGGTAGCCCTTACGCCCATATCGTTCCTGAACTTACGCCTCTGATAACTAATCCTATCTCGGTGATTTTACCATTGTTCCGGGCGTAGGGAGCTAGTTCAATGAAGCACATATCTTGCATACATTTGCTGTTCAGGTAAAGGATTACAAAAGAATTAATACGAAGGATTTGTTCGCCCTTAACAATCCACGGCTTCGATCGGGTTTGAACCCACGAACTTGGGTACATCAGCCTGATACGTGAACCGTTACATCACTACAAAATTCTCTGATTGACGGAATATTCACCAATAATTTTTGCTTCAAGTGATGGCAATGAAAACAAATATTTTCTCAAAAACGGCCTCAATTTGTATTTTTTTTCTCAAAACGTGCAAAGTTCACTTGCAAAAAAGGCGCAGATTCTATTTGTGATGAACTTTCTGTTTTAGAAAATTGTCAATGTTACAAATAAAGCGATGATGTCTACACTGTTGTAGCACCAATTATTTCAAAACGTCCGTCCGTCTGTCTGTCTGTAAACAACCAGTTCCAAAACATTTCATAGGAGTTTTCCGTATTTTAATATTCCCCGATTGTCCAGGCCAGACTCGAGACTGCGAATTTTCAATGAAACTTTCAGTTTTGGTGGATCTTTCATAAGGAGCTCGTGTGATTATTTTATATTAGCAGCTCCGAATTCTTTCTTTAAATGTTTTTTTGCAAGAATAGAGTAAAATATACTTTAGAGAGGCCTGAATTTCACTGTTAACTCTTAATCTCCGAAAATTGAAATACTTTGAAATTTGTTTACCCCCTGTGTAACTACAGTGAGGAATATACAGATTTTTTGTTCAAATGAAATTCGACCTTCACAATTAGTTATTTTTTTAGCGTCGTGAACACATTTTTAGACAAATGCTCTAAAAAATTTCTACATGGAGTCAGTCAGTCCTCCAGTCTATCCATCAGTCTGTCTCTCCGTCCGTGAACAACAATAGCATCAAAACTATTTGTAGGATTTTTTCCAAAATTAATATTACTTGTTCGATCTGACCTGTCTCTAAGATCTGCGGTGTTGAAATTTTATTCCTTACCACTGGGACATTTTCATACTTTTCTAAAAAATCGCTCCAGTTTCTTTTCTTTGATTTCGTGTATCAATAGAGTGAAATACAATCTTAAACTAGAGCTGCTACACCACGTACTTTCTCGCATTACTGGGAACGGTTACGTAATATTATAATACTGCAATTTCTGCCACCACTTCCAAAAGTCCGAACCAATTCAAACGAAGCGCCTTTGGATATCTGCTATTATTTCAATAGTCGAGAACAGTGTCTCTTTCTTACTACTAAAAAAGTAACGAACATGAATAAATTTCATCTGTTACAATATTTACAGCACTTTATATAAACAAGCAAGGATAATATTATGTGTAAATTAAACATTCAGAACTAGAGGCCATCACCGTAAAACTGCTTATAAATTACGAGCCTACAGTGTCATTACGAAATGTCAACTTCTGCAAAAAAATATTCTGTATTTCTTGTATTTATTTGCTTCTCAACTTCAATATAGTTCAGGGTACCATTTTATTGAAAGTAGTAATAATGTAAAATCATCGTTTAGTAAATACAGCTTCCTTACCCTATTGCTATCTCATCTATGTGATCGTCCAACAATGAAATTCTCGGAACAACGTCTCAAACTGCTATGTCGCAGCTTGTATGGCAACGCCACGCCAATATATATATATATATATATATATATATATATATATATATATATATTATATATATACATATATACATATATACATATACAAATATATAGTGTGTGAGTGTGTGTGTATAAAACATTACGCTCTAGTTGGAATGTTTGTGAATTTCTTTGTTAGCTATCGCATCAACCTTAAAGCGCTTGCTGCTCACCGTCGTCCCCTCTGCAGACGAGCGGCCCCCCGGAATCGCCTTGGCAGGCGTCAGCGCCGCCCTCCAGCCGCCCGGCGCAGAACATAGCGTCGGTGAGGGCAGCGGGGCCGTACACCGCCTCGGCGCGGCAGGTGTCCTGCGGCAGCAACGGCACCCACGCCGCGCGCAGCCGCCGCGCCCGCCCTGCAAAGCCAGACGGCCTCTCAGCGAATCGGCCTGCAGCCTCTTCTCAGCTCCTCGGCGCGTAGGCAGGCCATCGGAAGACATCCAAAGAGTCGGCAGAACGAAGGCAATTCACTCAACACGGAAAAGTTCGCCCTCCAGGAAAATGCTAAAAGGCTGGTTTAATCCTCTTATTTCTTACTCACCTCTCTACGTATATTCTCATTTTATGTCTCTGTATTTATAGTAAGAAAAATCAGTAAAACCATAAGGCAGAAAGGAGATGTAAGTGAAAAATGGCCATTGCATGAGATGCAAGTGAAAAATGGAATCTCACTGGTAGAAACGGAAATAACAATAATCGACGAATATTTACTTGATTTCGAGTAAAAGACAACGGGCTCGTTTTAATGTGGCAGCTACCACTTAAAGAGTGCGTCTCGTCGTTGTAGCATAACACACACACACGCTTCAGTACAATTCTTTTAAAATTTTTAAGTCTGTTCATATTGGTAGATAATTTTTGGTCTCGTTTTTATGTGTCAGAGAAAACATACAGGGGCCCTTGGTGGTTCGTAGGTTAGCGAGTTCGCTTTCCACGGCGCAACACCGGGGCCGGGGCCAAATTATAACTGTGCGCTTTCCTTACAAATGTCTCAGTATATATTGCTGTATGACGATGAGAAAGCCAGCCCTACTGTTAAAAAGACCAGTATATACGGTGGAGGGATGTCCTCGTGCAACAGAAACCCTTTATCCCAAGGCCGAGAGGCTGGGCCACGGCTGATCAGCCAAGGCTCGCAGCGGGCTCTCGGGCCAAAGGACAGGACAGAAAACACACATTTTTTTCATTGTAACAAATGTATAAACAATCAAATTGTAAAAATCATTATGTGTATCAAAAGTACCTAGTTTGAGTGCAGAGTTAGTCATTATGATCAAACACCCACAATATTCTATTAAGGTTCAAGTCATTAAGATGAAACCTTCATCAAACGATTGTGGACGCAGAAACTCAATAGATTTAGTGACAAACTAAAGCGTAGTATTCTTTTTTTAAAAGATACTGCAGTCACGTATTTTTTCTGAAAGTATATTTTTTACACAAATGGATATATCTGGAGAAAAAATTCACCAAACCTAACATGCCTGTATTGGATGAATAATTAATGGCATCCCAGATTATGAATTAGGGCGGGTAATCGGGTGCTCGGAAGTTTGTGGCATAGCACGGATTTCCAATATTTCTACGCAGTTAACATTCAAGGCGTCGCCAAGTGTGTCTAGTCTCTAATGCATTGTTCCTCTAAACGACAGTCGACACCGTGGCACACAGGTATAAAAGAAGCAATTCGTAAAGCGGGAAAGATACAATTAAGCCTTGCTTATGAATGCTGAAATATATGTTCATTAACGACGAGAAACTGAAAATTGTTTTGATTTATGAAGAATGTAAATCAAACATCAAACTCTGAAAGAGTTCCTGTAAGACTACGAATAACACTTCTGTGTTACGTAGAACGTGGAAGAAACGTGCGTAATTTGGAGATTGGAACAGGCACAGAAGAACTAGAAAAAGACGTCACAAACAGCAATACTTCACGTTCTGTTGCTGTTGCAAATAACATCATGGCACCGACATTTCGGAGGGTTCTGGTATAAATTATTTGATTATGCCCGTACTTCATTCGAAGCTGTCTCATGAAACATCGTTGACATATAAAAAGAGTGTTGATAAAACACAAGCAGTTATAACAAGAGTTACATTTTAGCGAGGCATTTTTATTGAAGAATTAAACTTTGAAAGAGAAGCAAATCTATATAATTTATCTATTAAACAACACTTAACAGATACATAATATAACATAAAAGTATACATTTCCAGAAATCGTAGCAGATGAGAAAAACCGAAGGAATTTCGATCGTTCCAATGCTGCCATGCTGTTGGCAGGGTTGTCACATCTACGATGGCTTTTGGCCTCAGAACACATTCCGATTTACGCCCAGGCATATTGCCAAGTGGGGCCTCCCCTTTTTTCCGTACCTCAACTGCAAGCGACGAATTCAAGACGGTCGCGCATTCCCGTGGTTGACACAAAATGACGAAAATTCCATTCATACGAGTATCTTAGCTAAGACTTCATTTAGAGATTACGTTTAATAGCTTCCAAAGATTATCGGATTGATAAAGCATTCACATTGCAGTCTCAAGTAGAGATATCGAAATATTAATATCGAAATATTGATCGTGGATTAAGAATTTATAAACTTAGTAAAATATAGCAGAAGAAATTTGCAAATTAAAAAAAGGGAAAGTAACTTGAAATCACACATGAAAGAAAATAATAAAATGTACATTAAATTTGGGGAAAGTATCTACAAATGCAAGAAATACTGAAACGATTAAAAAAGAAGTCATACATAAGTTCATTAAAGCCTCATTGAAGAAATAAAAATATCAGAATAATTTAGAATACTACTGAATTATACCAGCAAGTTAAAGAAAAATTAAAAATTATTATTCTTAATACAATAATAGTTTTAAAGATCAATGATGCAATGATATGCACTAATTTTGATATTTTTGAAATTCCTAATAAAATGAGTAGGCCCTAATGTATTCTGGGACGAAGTAGCAAACTGACTATTCATTTCTAGAACACGTGACGCTGTTGCAGTGTGCTTGCTGCAGACTGGTCCACGGCAATTCTAGATAAATACATTTTTTGTGCCAAGTTCTCAGTATTTTTGAGTTTACAGATTGTAAGAAAGTCCAACTTCCTCTTCATTCTGACCCGAGAAAGTTGTTTATTAAGGCAATTTGTGATTTCTTTACAATGTACACATTTTGTTTGAAATTAGTATTATGGCGTATCGAGACAAACGTAAATTAAATTTTAGAACGCAATGTTCAACATGAAAACTGGGTAATTGATACTCTGGGCGCTGAAGAAGCTAAAATGTCGAACAAATATTGTTATGAAATGGAAATATGGTTTTATGAGGGAATTTCGAACTCAAAAGACAACGTGACAAGTCAGAATGAATCGCATTAAACATTTCATTCATTGACATTAAATGCGCCTGAGGAAAACTAATCATGGTTCGTGGCACTTATATTAAAATTTAACCCATTATCAGATTATTAAATTAACCATCAATTTCTGTAATATAATCATCATCATCATCATCATCATCATCATCTTTCTTCTTCTTCTTCTTCTACTTCTTCTTCTTCTACTTCTTCTTCTTCTTCGAAAAGAAGAAGAAGAAGAACAACAACAACAACAACAACAACAACTTGGCTTAACTCCAAGGTCATTCAAAAGATTGGGAAGTGCAAGAAATAGCTTTATTGAGAACAACCCACATTTTGGGCAAAGTATTGCCCCGACAGTCCCTAGATCTGCTCCTTAGGTAGCTGGTGGCAACCTGGAGTACATTTTATATTCAGCCAACTCATAGCATCTTAGTCGTGATGCAGAGGAATAATGATGATGATGATGATGATGATGATGATGATGATAATGATAATAATAATAATGATGATAATAATAATAATAATAATAATAATAATAATAATAATAATAATAATAATAATAATTAGGTGCAAAGTTACTGCAAGTTAAATACGTCCTACGTAGTGGTGGTGATTGCGTAGAGGGGCACGGGGGGCTCACCGTCGCTGTCGGCGCGCGCCGAGCCCCAGCCCGAGACGGAGCAGTTGAGGCCGTCGCGGAAGCGCGTGCCGTGCTCGGGCAGGCACGCGGGCTGCACGGCCGCGCCCAGCTGCACGCCGCGCCCCTTCAGCTTCACCAGCGCCAGGTCGTTGTTGAGGCGGGCGCCGCGGTTGAAGTCCTCGTGCAGGTAGATCTCCTCCACCTCCGCCTCCTGCTCCGTGCCGTCGTGCGCCTGCGGAACAGACCCTCCTTGTGTCCCTCCGGATGCTTCAACTTAGAGCGCCTTCCCACGTCGCCACGGCGCCGCGCTTCCTTCAAGCAGCAGAGCCCTTCCGACGCAGCCACCAACGCCCCCACGGCCGCACCGCCGCCCGCCGTGGAAGGGGGTGGGGGTCTAGAGGGGTAGGTTTCGCCGACCGTCCGGCGACGACAAACAAAGGGACCGGAACAGGTAGAACGCTGCGGCCGCGGCGCAGTGGAAACGCTCCCATTTAAAGCTGTGTTCTGCTAGCGGTGGCGCGTGCCCCCTCCGCTTCGCGTGGCTGGAGTTCGGCGTCGGCTGCCGCAGCAGCCGCCACCCGCTGCACGTGGGAAGGCCTCCATTCAAACCAATGCTCTGCTACGCGCCCCGCTGCTCGGAAGCGCGCCGCGGCCGCGTCGTGGGACAGGGGCTCTTAGTCTCATATTTTATATCCTCGGAATTGTAATGGTAAATGCACCTACGTACAATAGTATGAAGTATTGCATAAGAGAAGCAATGGATATTTTTTCTCAAACATGTACGCGAGAAAAATATCGCTTTTCAAAGTTATCTAAATTAGGGTCACCTCCGGAGCAGTCTGCTTTTATCTTAAGATCACTGACCTGGAAGCATTTGCAATTACCTGCAATCACTGCTAGTAGCACACCCACAGCGAAAGGCATTACAGAGGAGATCCGGTGTGGATCTATATCTTGGCTTGCGGGGTGTCCTTCTGCAGGTACAATCCCTGGCGGAGTATCGCCCCAGTCCGGACAAACTCTAAGCTATCGATGGGTGTGGTGGTGAAGTGTGTGTACAAGGGGTAGCGAGAGGACAAAGGATGAGATCACTCACGGTTCGTACCCATCTGTTAAGGCGCAGCATTACCAGTATGCTCTTAGTACCGAGCGGAATAATAGTAGAAACAGAGCATGTCGTTGGAATTCTCCTCCAGACAGATGTTGCATTCGAGCCAGATATGTATCAAATACCGCCTTCGTCGGGACTTGAGCCCTGGGACCTCCCAGTCAGCGACCCTGCAGAGACAACGACAGGGCTGACACCGAGTCATCATTATATTCCTCGAAGATTTATCTTTGGGCTAACCGAGAGAAATTAAGACGCATTTCGATTTTTGGATGAACACCCAGGGAAGCTACTAAATAAAACCTTCGCCACAGCACTGACTCATTTTCATAGCGACATTCCAATCTGCGCTGCTTTGGGTCAATACGTAAGTATCGTATTTCAAGCCAATCAACTTCACAAGTAGAACGCGTTAAAAGTAATCGAACACAACGAATCTTTCTTTATGTGTATTAACAATGTTTGATTACATGTTCAATAAAAATAAATAAACCAACAAAATCTCATATTTTTATCGGGAACAACAAATTCTAACAGAAAAACTGAATTTTTGTCTCACTTCAAGTTCTCAATCGCCTGACATTCAAGCAATAGAACCTCAAGTACCTTTTCGAATAATGTGAAACTCACTTTGTGCTCCAACCGCTTTTATCAACCGTAATAACTATAATCATTAAACAATTTTAGCTCAAAATTCTCCTCAAAGCACGAATTAAGTGCAAACGTGTGATTTAAGTTTATATCAAGTGCACAGAAATGTTCATGAGTCACATAAGAAAGCAAGGAGTCAGGAACCGTGTTATTGATCGCAGCAGAGACTAGTAGGTCAATGCATGCCATTCCTTGAGAATACGTAATAACATGATGATGTGGTTGCGTGCACACAGGCAACTGCTGAGTCAGGCATGCGACAAAATTTCCCATGTGCAAGATCTAGAGAAATTACGGGTTTGGTGAATATTTTCACTATCGCGTTACCTATCAAAGATGAGGTCTCATTTATGACGTTCATATAACAATATAGATATATAAGAGAAAATTGGCAACTAATGCATTTCACAAATTTATTTTATGCGTGTTACTACTCGAGTTAATAAAGCTATATTTTTTCTTTTTCTTTATTCCTTAGCGAATTAATAAATGTTGCCAATGTAAAGACATAAAAGATGAGAAAGCACAACAATTTTCGTGGTCTTCATCTCTGCTATAAAAAGAAGAATGGTCAATAAAGGGACCTACCGTAAGACATTTTTAGAATTTTTGAAAATTACATTCTTCTCCACATAATTTTCATGAATAACAATTCGAAAATTTTTCTAAATACATTTTAAATGGTATTATAAAAATTAAGAAACACTACAAATGAAATATTTAAAGACATAAGACTTAACATTTGAAATGATATTGAAACATTGAAAAGTCAGAAAGAGGAAATAATTGATATGCATTTCTCATAGAAATACAAAGATATATTCCAAATTATCACAACAAAAATTTAAAAAGTAGAACCCAAATTATCGAACTAGTACAGAAGAATGTCCTGTGGTGCAGCTTTGGTTTTCAATAAAACTATTTAAGTAAATTCATTTGGTGAAGAGCAAAAATTAAATTTAACTGGTATGTAAAGCATTAGTAACGGCTCAGCAATATACTGAGTAATCTCATTTCTAAAGATTGTTGAAAAGATGGGAATAATTCCATCAGTATTGTAGTAATAGTAGTAGTAATGTATTATCTCTTTTGCATTTAAATTAGAATCCTCTGCTAGCCACCTTCCCGAATTGAGAACTCATCCAAACAAAATCTAGAAATGTTGCAGATCGACATGAAAATACAGGAAAGATTTTAAAAATAAATTACGTAATTGGACGCCTTCGTCCATTCTTTGCGATTCTATTGCTGACGTCACAAACTTTATTTTAATTTTGTTCAGTACTACACAATACAACATTTAAAAATATTATTATATTCGATTCTCCTATTTAACAATACATTACAATACAATAAAAAATCCTCCATATTAGAGCTCATTTTTTGTTTATTCTGAAATTGCAACCATTGTGCTAGGGCGCTAGGTCAGACGTAGTCTTACTAGTAAATTACCGACCCCATTCGCTGGTGGTCAATACACTCATGGTCACCAAATGGGGCAATGTGCAAAGAGCTCAGGCGCCTGAAGCTACTCCTCCGTTTTTAATCCTTCTCATTGCAAATGGAACAACTCTGTGAATGACATGAAACATTCTCTGATTTATTTATTAAAAGACGTCCCGCTGTAGATTCACGACCATGAAGTAGAAATGGGAAATGTATTTCACAGGGTTTGGTCGGAGTGATTTAAGACATTAAAACATAGTTTGCCGACGTTTTGAAATTCTTTTATTCCATCCTCAGTGTTGGTGGAAAAACGTAAAAATATAAGAACGACGTGGCAATTAGAATACAATCACAAACTGCACTGCCCTTGCTATAATGCGGGCCTTCCCGTAATTACAACTTCCCTACGAAAACTTCTCAGTGAAGGGTTCCATCATCCATATTTATCCCAGTTGATGCCTATGACCCCATTTACGTGCTAGTAAAGTTGTTATGTTTGTGGTTCAGTGTGATGTACTTTATCCTTTTGTACAATTATCGCATTTGTGAGTACAAGTACTTCAAATGATTTTTTAAGAAGTTTCTCGAAAACTCAAAAGATTTCTGTAAGATTATCTAAAAATTGCGCATTTTATAACGATAAATTGAATTTAAGAGAATGTTTCATTGTTCTATGATATTTCTAAATTTTATTATAGAGGATCGAAAAAATAAAAAATGTTAAAAATATACGTAGTTTTTGATTAGCCAATTTCCCGGTTATAAATAATTCTTGGAAGTAATCTAATCGTTCAGTTAATAGTTAATTTATACGTAATGTTTATGTCCGACAACATTTCTGTAAATTAAGTTGATTTTGGGGAAATACTTCAAACTACTGGAGTTAAATATTGATCGATTTCGATCCGGGTTTTATAAAATGTAGTCCCGCAAATCAAGAATGAAATGTTAATTTAAAAATTGAGAGCTTCGACTCAGGGGAAAAAGCTCTGGGTGTTCTTCAATTTTAGAAAATCCTATATACTGTTTAGGACGTTAGTTTATTGTTCACATACACAGGACAAGGAACGACAGATGATAGAGACAGACGGATAGACAGGACAGACGGATAGACAGACAGACGGATAGACAGACAGACGGATAGACAGACAGACGGATAGACAGACTATATGCTATAGTTTCGAAATCCACGTATGACATGAATGCAACAGTGTTTAAATTTTTGTGGCATGGGAGCAGTCCCAGTCCCTCGTACAATTACATATGTACAATAAATCTTCTATAATCTCTTGTCCTGATATGCAACGTGTGGACTCTGTTAATGTAATTCAGGAAATGGGTACCACACTCTGAGCAATGGTTCTTGTACCGAGGATGGAGTCAGGGATTACAATGGGCATAGGACGTTGGTAGGTTTACGCTAAGTTCTGGTTGCACGAAGGTGCTCTTCTCAGTTCCCCAGAGGAGCGGTAGGTACCATGAGAGGTCCAAGTTGTGTTTGAGACACCGAAACAAATAGGAAACTTCTAATTTGTAGCACAGATTATGAATGCTTCTGGACATCTCATAGCGAGAGGTGCCATCTCGTGTTAAATAATTATATATTCATAGCCGGAGCAAATATTTTTGCATACTGTTGCTGGCCGCAAAAACTTGCAAATTGAGTTTAAATGTGCAATATTTTCGCACGAGTTCACCTAGTATTACGAAACCTTACAAATAATGAGCAGTTATATTACCATTAGTTTCCAAATATATTATACAATCGACATATTTTGTATTGAGTAGCCATAGAAGAATTCACTTACGCCGCTTTATTCTGTGTTACTCCCAAAGTAATAAATATAACTTAACAAAACATGTGCAATATAGTCACAAAAACTTCAAATAATTTGGAATAAGTTCGACCCAGGGCTGAATATCGTTATGGAAGCGAAGGTATTTTACAATCCGATGAAACATTCGTGTTGAAAGACGTCGCAACACTACATCTATTTTGAAGAGAGGTCCTTCGCGAACAAAGGCCGCCTTATCGTAGCGCCGAACCGTACCTCTGTGTCGTGGTCTCCTACGCGCACGATGTACGCCGACTTGACGTAGTCCAGGAGGCAGTGCGCGGCCGTGATCACGTGCAAAGGGCCCAGGACGACGGCGCCGCACCAATGCACCGACTTGAGGCCAGCGCGCGCGCGCACCGACGCCTGCGAACGAGAAAAGCATCGTCAACACAAAGAAACAATCCATCTTCCCGCCTGAGCTACAGGACGAATTTCTAGGTTACTGTGTTTCTGCATATCATTATTTTCTGCCTTCACACAAAATGTATCGATCACTAAGGGTAAGAACACTTCCGCTGTTGAGTTCATAATCGCAATGAAGTTCATCCAAAATTTAATATAACATAAAATAGATTTGAAATATTTCTTTAGAATGCTGAGTGTTTTAATGTAATTGCCGAATTAGAATAAGCTGATAAAATGTCAATAAGCATAATGCAATCGTAAACATTTCTGATTTTTCACTGAAAATGTATCAAATAAAATTCTATTTTTTATGATAAAATTTGATAGAAATAGTATGGTATTTTTATTTTAGTGCGATTAAAAGAACCTAACAATGCTTTATGGTGTATTCTTTGCTTCGCGATTCTTCGCTTCATTTCTGGGTTAACCCATTCTCTGCAGGAAAACGAGTGCATATGGCGTCACTTCCGCTTTCGAAGGTCAATGTGCGCGTGTTTCCTTATCAGCTAAACTGATATCGGCTTACCTTGGATAGCGTTGCAGTCGATAAAATGGAAGGAAATATAATTAAAAATACCTGCACACAAAGAAAGATCAAATTCCAAATTCCATTTAACTAATCGTAAAATATTTGTATTAATTAATCTGCAAACCGCACATGGACCCGTATGTTCACGTATATAATTTGAAAACAGAATCTCAAGGCAGAATACAATATTTCTTTAAATGCTCGAGTATTCCATATGTAAATTACGTAGAACGCTCACAACAACATTAGCTCAGTGCCGGTCTGGATGACCGAGATCGCTAAGGCACTACTGCCTTAGCGATCTCGGACCGAAGGATCACGGGTTCGACTCCCGCCTCGGGCATGGCTGTATTCTGTTCGTCCTTTCACCCCCTATCATCATCATATCGTGTCATCCTCATAGTTACCATACGTTACTCGCAATAGTGGTCGCTAATGACCTAGAAGTTGATGCGACCTTAAATAACAAAAATCCCACTAGGTCAGACATGAATCATAGGAATCCTAACTAATGAACATTACAGTCTGACACTTGGCTAGAAGTTTAGTTGTTAGTTATCGCGTATCAGACTTTTGAAGTAATGTAGAATGGGCTGCGTATTAAGAAACACTCAGTGAATGTGATATCATGTATGCTCCGAGCCTCTTTGAAATACCTTCCATCGCGCCAAAGCCACTTTTATATTTGGTCTCAACATTTAGTCATATAACAGAGCAGAAATTACAAATAAAATATTGAGTTTAATTCTATACAAAATTAGTAAAAAGTGTCTACATATTAATATGTGAAGGGAAAACTCTGTACCTCTTTTTAAGCATATTGCGCGTCCTGAGGAGTGTGAGATTTGGTTCAGTTAAAGTTTATATGGGGAATGAGTACAGAAAGCTAAAAAGTATGAATAATATGTGTAACAAATAAATTAAATTAAGTATATAACATGCTGATGCAACAAGGCGCAGCACACTATTGTGCTTAACTCGAATACGATGGATTTTAGAGCCTTAAAACTATATTTTTTTGTTACGTAGGAACACAGGTTTTGTTTTTCTATCCCTTAATCTACAAAATGAGGTCTTTTTTACAAGTTTTATTCCAAGCTTAACGCTTAAGAGGAAGATAGTCGACTCTATAATTGCATTTGTGTTCGCGAAAAGCATATTTCAAGCAGTATTTTTGGCTTCTGGTGGTCATTGCTCAATTGGCGGTTGAGGTCACGAGACCCTTTTTCCGATGTGTTTCTTACCCATGCGGAAGAGGTAGAATCCCAATGATCCCCCTGTTGCTGTGTCACTTATGTTAATTCAAAACAATGCCCAAAAAGAATACAAAAATCAGTTCTGTTAAAACTGATCCTGCTCAAAATACGTTAAAATTTAAATAATCATTTAAATATTGAATAAATGTTTAAAAATAATAGTAATTTAGTAACAATTACGTGCAGGAAGTGCGTAATTTTCGTACGGCTGCCGCTAGTATTTGCTAAAGCCTGTTTTACACGATAATTTTTCATCATTTTTCGTCGGTACAGAAAAGATACAGACCAGACTGGATGTAATTTGTACGAAAAAATTACGCCTGCTTAATTTTACCGCGCTCCTAGAAGCACTTTCCGGTACATTTTCTGGTTTGTTATGCGTGTGGAGCGATATGTTCATTTTGTAGTTGCCTCAGAGCGATCTGATGTGTTGAATTGTAATGTGAAGTGGTTATGCAGTGAGAAATAAATAATGTATGGTATACTAATATTGTCGCATCCGAGCTCAGTCCTACTATAACCTAACTTAATTTGTAGCCACATATGCAATGTTCAAATGTCAGCCCTATATGCGGCGTCCGGAGGAAGTATTTTCTTCACGATTACGTACAAAGACAGAATTGACAGTGAAAAACGCTGGAACCACTCTCATCCAGTTTCCTTACTACGTTGAAACGAACGTGCTTTCTCCTTCCACTTTCTGTACAGAAAAATGATGGAAAAAGGATGCAAAAATGACTGTAAAACAGGCATAATTCGTGTCTTCATCTTCTGTGGGGTGAGTGGCTTGACCCTCGCTCGCGCGCCGTGGCGGCCCGCACCTGCCAGGGGTAGCTGCGCCGGGGCACCTCGAGGCTGGCGATGACGCGCGGCTGGCGGAAGTCGACGGGGACGTCTGCGGGCCAGCGCTCCCCGCACCGCGACGGCAGCACTCCGCCGGCCGCGCCCTCCGCCCCGGAGCTCGGCGCCCGCTCGGCCGCGCGCGCTTGCTGCAACCGCCACGCACCAAGGCCACGGGCACTCTTATAGCTGCCGATTATAATTATGGTGTGCACAAATAGGGCTAGATGCTGTACAAACTTTCAAGAAAATATACAGATTTCCCCCCATTTTTTCCCCTTTCTCTCTCTCTCTCTCTCTCTCTCTGTCTCTCTCTCTCTCTCTTTTTTTTTCATTTACATCCCACACCAAAAAGCTATTACAGGGAGTTGTGCACATAAGGGATTTATTAGTATTCCCCATTAAATTCCCTGCAGGCTAAGGCCTCCTGAAGTTCATGTACAGCTTTGTTTAGAGCATGCATTAGATCAGCCACTTCTGATGCTACGAATTGATAACATTTCTTAAACCCTTGAGCATAGTTTACACACACTCTTTTTTACAGACACTTTGGCCTACTTTTCTTCAGTTCTGTAGAACTAAATAACTGTACACCTATAGTTATTTACCTATTTCAGTCTGTTGTAGTTACAGATATCCTACTGACTTTATCCTATCAAAAGCTATAAATTACTAACTTTAAACATGAACCTATAATATAATATTATAATATGGCATCAAGCTGTAGCATGTTAATGAATTGATGAGCGCCTAATACATTTTGCTCATAACGATATCGTGTACATTAGGGAAGTGGGATTGAGCATACAATTTTTGGAAGTAATCGTACAGTATAATGTATACGAATACCAGACATAATTTTAATTTTGTTACGGCATATGTGCGTAGCAGTCATTTCCACGGGTTTGGACTTATCACTCGTGTGTGTGTTGGGTAGACCTTGAATTGTATGAAAAATGCCACTTTAGTTCCTTTAGAAAAATTCCGATGTGTAGTAATGGGAAAACTGGTCGGCCAATGCCCGTATCGGGCAGTCGAGCCGAAGGACAGGGCAGTGCTGGGGAAAACAAATGAGGTCTTGCGTTGTTTGCTAAAACAGAGATATGCTCAGATTCTTATTTATAGAATGCGGCTCGGAGCGCTATTATTAGCTGTTCCTGTGCCGGGAGAATGGACTCACCGCAGTGGGCGCGGGCGCGGGTTCGTGGCCGGGGGCTGGGCCGTCGCACTCGACGGCCACGTCCTCGTCGTGGGCGCAGTTGTGCTTGCCCCAGGGCTCGTGCAAGCAGTGCTCGAGCGCGGACTCGTTGCCGCGGCAGATGACCTGGTCCAGCCAGATGGGGCCGCGGCCCGGGCCGAAGGCGCCGCCCTTGCGCGCGCGGGCGCCGCCGGCGGCCAGCCCCAGCGCGCGACACGCCACCGCCGCCGACGCCGGCCCGAAGTCGTCGTCGCACACCGTGCCCCACACGCCGTGGCGCCGCACCTCCAGGCGGCCCGCGCGCGCGTGCGGCCCGCCCGCCAGCCGCAGCGACACGGGCTCCTGCCGACACCAAAGATGCACTCGGAGACATTTCGTAGAGCAATTCACCAACCGTCGCAGTGGGCGACCATACAGTAAATCCCTTATTGTGATTCGTTTCGTTTGGAATTATATGTTGTATATAATGATTTAAAATCAACAAATGGTGGTATATACAGCGCATAATACTACACAGCTTTTAGCTAAACAAGATTTAGCATTGTTTAGTAAATCAGACAATTGAAAATCGTACGTGAATAAACAAAGAAAATAATTGTCAGTGGTACTCTACCTTATTTGTACAAAAAAATCATTCGACGAGATCCACGTCTGATGTCGCCACACATTGCTTAGTTAGTAGGCGCGCGTTCTCAGAAATCTGACCAATTCGTATGACGATAGAGCCCATGTGAACTGTGAGAAATCAACGCTGTGTAGTATTATGCGGTGTATATACCACCATTTGTTGATTTTAAATCATTATATACAACATATAATTCTAAACGAATGGTAAAAATACAGTCGAAGGCAAACATCGGCAGACAGCATCTAGGGATTTGCCTAGGGATTGCCAGGTTACCGAGGTTAAAGAATTACGAGTCCATGGGAGCTTAGGATAGATGACCGGTGGGAAAGTAGCTAAACTACCTGCTCCCTTCAGTAGCTAAGCTAACTGACTGAAAGGATAGTACGAAAACATTCCCTTTCATGTGTTTGCTTAATAGGGGCATACTCAACTGTGTTCAGTAATTCAAGAAACGCAATTATTAATTTAGTAATTTTCACTGCAAGCTGTTTAAGAAACATTACTATTCTTGTAATACTATATTTAACTAAACGTGAACGTGACTAAGCCCTTCGTGCTTTCAAACTATACTATACCGTACAGTCCAATATACTACGTGATTAATTGAATGAACTTTACATTTCGATCCGTGTATGATTGATTGATGTTTCAGGACGCATCATCTGCTGAGATCATTAGTCCAATTTGTGGCGTGAATGTTTTATCCTGGAAGTTGGCGCTGTAACCCCCCACCCCACCTGGATGGTGAGACCCGGCGTCGACCTTCACGTCGCTTTGCTGGGGATTTCCGCCTCCTGATATCCCGAGCATGTCTGGAACTCTGATGACTGCCAGTTGAAGTAACTAAAGGCCCCTAACGTTTGTTTTATACAATCAGACTTCACGAGAATCGAACAAGCTGCGTCGATATGTTTGCCTTTTTTGTTCTGTGACTATTTTTAAACAATGTGGACGATAGTGAAAAACAATTTAACACAATTTTATCAGATTAAAAATTTGAAATTCGTCCAGCAAAATAGAAAGCATATTTTTTACCAGTGTTTACACAATTATATTTCAATTATTGAAAATATCAGTTATCAGCATGTTTTACAATTATTTGCTGACAAACATATGTTTTTATGTAGAACGTGTTTATATTATCAAAATAAAATCATGAAACCCCTTTTCTTTTTATATTTATGTATTGTTTACAATGTAAATCAAATTACTCGATTTTAAACACACGAATCTTTCACGTTTATAATTTAAATCAAATTACTCAGTTGTAGATTTATTAATTATTGACAATTAGATAATCATAGACAATTAATCATTGTCACTGTCTTCTTCAATTACTGGGATCACGTGTTCGTTTATTAATAGTCTTCTCAAAATTTCTGAGTAGGTTCTGGTTTAACAATTTTCGACAAGTAACGGGCATGCGCCAAATAATAAATTATGGCGGCTATGTGGGAGTAGCATTCCTGGGCGCGACTTCCGTTCGCGCGTTCACAATAATATCGCTTCACTCCTGATATTTCCGTGGTGGAAAGAGAGGGATGAGCTCTTCCGGTCCACCGATTTTTGCTCCTTTCGCAGCACCAGTTTGCGTCACTAAACACGTGATCGCATCACGGGTTCTTCGGTTAAAAAGCGAGAGCGGACGATGGCAACATTGTTGCATGGAGAGCATGACATTTTTAAAGTGGCATAAAGTAACAATTTTCAATAGTGACCAACTAAAACTAACACGATGAAGATGTAATTGAAATAAAAGATGCAATAATTTTTAAAAAACGTGTTTATCTATTTATATTTCAGTGGCTTGTAACTGTGATAATTTTGGCATTTAAAATTCCCACTAATATTATGACGCAAACTAGTGCCTGAAGCCCAGTCTGGCTGAAGTAGGATGCGCAAGGGCCCACCCATGGCTGAAGTCGGATGCGCAAGGGCCCACCCATCACTTTCCACCATGGATATTCTTATTGAATTCGGTACATAATCGATGTAACACCTATAAGATTTCGAGTTCATATGTCGTGATTGAATCTGTGTTTAAAAATTGATAAAAATATTTTTTCCAATCACATTTTGGGGCGAATTTCAAATTTTAACCGATAAAATGATTTTAATTGTTTTTCACTATCGTCCACATTGTTTAAAAATCTGAAAAAAATATGTTGTAGAATAATATAAGACACATTCTAGGGAAAACTGAGACAGTACTCCTACGTTATCATGTCCAAAATTAATTCCAAAATGTGTTTTCTATTTGAATTTGGGGTCAAAATTTACTGACGAAAATGCCATGAAATTCAACTATTTTGCCCCGTCTCTGCAATTTTTTTCAGCCTGATACACGCAATAGAAGCTGAGAAAAAATACACGTTTCTCGTTGTATGTCTGCAACAGTTTGCCCTAGGAGGCATATTTTTTTGCGAATCTCCATTTTATATTCTCTTTCATTTGCACATCGCGATTACCGATTTGATTTGGGGGCAATTTTCGCCGCCTCATCCGGTTATACCCTTTATAGTTTCTCTACTATCACCCAAAACAATTCGGCGAGTATTGAGTATGTATTCCTTCTTTACGTCTTTGCACCTTTTGAGTGCCTAAAGACGTCCCCGAAACAACCTGGGACTGAAAACGCCAGATGTAGAACTGTGGAAGAAACCGGATAATAAGTTAGTGAAATTCGTCGCATTAAAAAAACGAATGAACGGCAGTATTTGTTTTATAAATGGCCAGAAGGAACTAGTAGCCAGCGGCGTAAAGTTTATATTCATGAAGTAGAGAGTAGACATCTGCTGTACATACATTTATTTCCTACTATTTAAACATTGTTGCATGCCAAACGATTTTCTTCTTAAATATAAGCGTCTATTGGTGATAAAAAAAACAACTTAAAAAATCTGAGGAAAAGGCAATTTACCAGCTTTGAGGTTTTTTATAAATTAAATGCACTAAGATGAAGATTTACAGCAATATATCCTGGCGTTTTGCGTACCACAGTATTGGCTGCGACCAGAGCTAAAACTGCAATCTTGACCCCTTGTGGTCGCGACCTCGCCCCACAGGCCTCTCGCTTCCGTGACGTTCGTAAACAACTCTACGGCGTTATCAGTGTTGGTTTCCTCTTTCGAATATTTTAGCTGAAGTGCGTGAAAACATACGAAACTTTGCAATATTTTGCACTACACTATCGCACAATATGTTTACAGAGTAGAAAAACAATGTGAGAATATTAATCAAAACCACTTACACATGTTAATTTACAATTACTTCTGACTTCGTTTTTACGTTCTAGCTGACCTTTGAAACGAAAATATTTAATCCCTCTGATTTACAAAAACTTGGGTAACGGCTAGAAATGTTTCTGATATCGAGGCAAGCGTCTGTACCCCTGCAATATTGTTTCCATTATCGAATATAACGGCGAGTACTTTTTACTCCGAGAAACATGATTAGTTTGTTCGATTCACTGATGGAATTATTAGTGATTCCGGGAGCGTCAACTGATAAGATTATTAGTTCCGGAAGTGTAGTGCATGTTGTCTCTCGGAAGTTGGAGGTAATCTTACTCTCCCTGGAAGGTGAAATCCGGCGCCGCCCTATCGTCAGCTAGCGGGGATATTCCCCAACCAGGTATTTCCCACCAGCGGGGCACCACCCTAGCCAGGACAATCTCCCCCCAACTGGTCTTCTGACAAGTGTAGTAGTGTAGTGCATGTGAGTAGAGTGTGCGTGTGCGTAAGTAAGGGGTGAGGATAGAACAAGGAAGTGGAAGGAAAGATCACGCGCGGCCCGTGGCCCGTTTGTTAGGGGACTTCTCTGGCATTCGCCTGGTGGTGATCGGAGAATCCACGGAAAACTACCGACCAGAGTAGCCGGTAGATAGAATTCTCCTCCAGACAGCGACTGAATTTGACACAGCTATCTAGCTAGAGTCGCTACCGTCGGCAAAGGCACTGCAGTGACCGGAAATATGGAGACAAATGACATCCGAGATGACCCAGCGACGCCATGTCTGACACTTGAGCTCTTCGTACCACGCAGGACTCTAGGAGCGGAGCTGTTCTCTGTTGCAGGAAAGGCCTTGACGGCGACTGAGGCTCCACAGCGAGCACTGACGTTGTGGCCTACCTGGCAACGCGCTCCCTCGTCGCTGCCGTCCTTGCAGTCGGGCACGTCGTCGCAGAGGAAGCCCACGGGAATGCACTCCCCCTTGGAGCCCGCGCAACGCCACTCCTTGGGCGCGCACTCCGACCCGGGCACTCGGCACACCAGCCCCGCCTCCTGGAACAGCGCAGCAACAATCAACTGGTGATTCATACAAGGCACGCACTTTCTTGTATACAATAATTGCTGTTTCGAAATATTAGAATACTAGTTGCACCAGAAAAGTTTATCTCCACTCCACCCCCAAATTAAAAAAAAAAATTGACTGGAGCTCAGACGCAAACCTAGTACTTATGTTCAGCAGGAGGCCTCTTAACGCACTAAGCTAACACTTCAAGCCAAAGTTAAAAATTTATTTTATGAATGATTGCTTCACACATTTAAAAAAAATCAACGAAAATAGGACATGCATCATTTTTATAAGATTGTTATATCAAGAAGAAAAAGTTAAAGAAAAACGTGCGAGGCCCGTTTAGAAAAATTCGAATATGTCGCCGGGGCTTCATGAAAAGAACTCGGAATAATTAAAATGTCGGGTAAAAATCATTTGTGGCAGTCAACTTATTTTTTACTCGGAATTTTTATACAATTTTTATTCTCAAAAACTGCTCTAATTTTTTTAAACATTTTCTCGTATGTATCAATGGATGGTATAAAAATTGTTGCCGATCCCATTTTTTGCAAACTCTCTGTATTTTCGAAAATTGCAAAAAGTTAACATTGCAAAAGTGCAACATTGAATACAGAAATGTTTGTCGTAAATTAAATCTGTTCTAAAAAATCAGATCTTTAAAAAAGGTCAAGCATAATTTTTTTAAGAGTGGAGTTTGCGGAATTTCCGCTTGAAATAAATGCAAATTATAAAAAAATTCAAAAACCGTTACATATTTTTCCTACTTGTAGAAATAAGGACTCTTAAAGGAATGGCGAAGGTCTAATTTTTGCTTAACTCTCTGAATTTTTGCAAATTGCAAATTTGTATTATGCATAGCTGTTAAAACAAATTAAGTAATGTTTTCAATTGCGTTTAAATTAAATGAGGAGGAAATTAAGTGAGGAAAAAATCATTAGGATTAGTGTGCAGCATTAGAGCATCAACTTGCATTTAACAAAACACAAAAAATAGCTATTGCGCTTAGGCCATTTTTGTCCGAATTGCCCAATAATGATAGAAAGAAATTCTACGAGGATTTGTCAGAACAATGATAGAAGCAACTATTCCAAGAAGATAACTATATTATTTACTTCGTAAAATTTCTATATATGTATATAAATCCGAAGAAGAAAATATATGGTTCCTATTTAATTGCCTATTTTACATTTTAAATGTCTATTTTGCACGTCTATTTCTACAGTCTTTCGTACCTGTAAAGCGGCAGCTCAATTATTATTTACATGAAATTTTATATGTACGCCTGTGTCCAAATCATATCCGAATCTACCTGCACCTCGTTTATTTCGAATATTGGAGTTCTATTGTAGTCGGCAACTGAAGGAAATCCAGTACGCACTATTGAAATCGCCAAAAAAATCACGGTCTGAAATATTTGTTCATAGAAAACTTTTAGCACATGAAAGATGCAACTTAGTATTTACTCTACTGTTAACATGTACTTCCATGAAAAATTTCAGGATAGATTTCGATATGAACTTTCAAGATACATTTTCAAATTTTGATTACGCCAGAAAGCTAAACACCTTTGAACATATTTTCTATTTTTCTCTTCACAAGACTAAACGAATGTTATGCACCAAATTAAATATTATTCAATGAAAAGTATTGAGATATGAGCTGGATATTATAATAATAAAACTAAAAATTACTGTTGATAAAATGTTCTTCACAAAACATAAATTACTTGGAGTTCTATTTATTTTTGCTTGATATTTTGATAAGGAATGCGTATTCGATTGTTTACTTCATTATAATGTAATATTTTTAAAAAAATGTTAAAATATTTTTCCACCATGCCAAAGCCTTGTCGCCGGCCAGAACACAGCACGCATCACGTGTTTTTCATGTTGTTTTTTAAACGAGAACAGTGCACGTCTGTTCACATGCCACGTTGGAGGTTCTACAAGTACGAACATGCTACCACCTCTGATATAAAGCGCATTCCCTTTCAAGACAGCGCTCTGCTTTGTCCACACACAGATGGCTCAAGGCAACTCACTATTACACGATGTTTTGCAGTTTTTCTTCTCAAATCCCTATTAGACCTACACCAACAATTAATGTAGAATGTGTTTCTACGTAACCGTCATTCTCGCGCACTATTTTCTTTGAAATGTAATATTAAAATAGTCCACTTATTAACGAGAATAATTCTGTTAGTATTAAAAGTGACCACATCAAGTTTTCTTTAATATACAGACAGTTGGCCAGACAAAATGCCTGAGATCGTTAGGGCAAAAGTGCCGAAGCGATCTCGGATCAGAAGACCGCGGTTTCGAGTACCGCCTCAGTCAAGTCGAGTCTCTTGTCTGCTAAGTTGGTTGATTTAACTATTTACGCCTTTTTTTAAAAACTAATGTAATGTAAAGCCTTCGCTACCTTTCATTTCTTTTTTAAGTTCGAGTAATTATTTTTCATTGTTTCTTTGTTTCAGGTAGTTTGAAACAAAACAAATATTTTGACTTTTTAATGAAACATTTTTATCTTTAATGTTTAATTCCGTGCAATAAATGAAGTTTGCTAATTGTTTTCCTAATTAATCGACCAATTATCTTTCATAATCAACGATTCATTAATCCTGTTTTGAAAATGTTCACAAAAATACAAATAAATTTATTTCAGCTCTGCTGAATTAATTTTACAATGTTATCCCTCATGTTTATTTTCTATCAAATTACTTAAAAATAATTTTGCTTTATCGGAGTTAGTTTATTAATACATTTTATTGACGCATTTTGTGACCAAGAGTCGTACCTCTTCGGGCGTGCAGTCGTTAACACCCCAGCCAGAGAAGCTGCAGTCGCTTAGCGACGACTCATTGCCCCGGCACTTGAGGTCGTCCATGATGAAGGTGAGGTTGCTGGGCCCGAAGTGCGAACCTGGAAGGATGTCGGCAGCGCCGAGCTTGAAGCCCAGCTGGCGACAGGCCACGTCAGCGTCCTCCGCGCCGAACAGATCGTCGCAGACGGAGCCCCAGCGCCCGAACGCTGCGCAAGGACAGGCGGCGAAATGCCCTTCATATGGGTAAATAGCCGAAGCTCACTGTCATACTTCTAACTGAAAATGCGAGATAGGTTGGGATTTACCATTATGATCTGAGCGCCTGAATTGTTAACGGCTTTTTAACATAAATAAATAATAAAATAAGTAAAATAAAATAAAAAAAATAAAATAAATAAATAATAAATAAAAATAATGAAATAAATAAAATAAATAATATTAAATAAAATTAAAAAAATAAAAACTGAATGGAATAAATTGGAATGAATATATTTGCACCCTCACAATCCATCCTCGTATTGAGCGAAGTTGCTCAGGGACTTGCGTCGTTGGACTGGGTCATTGATTTGGGTCGTTGGACTTGGGTCGTTGGACTTGGGTCTGTTGGACTTGGTCGTTGGACTTGGTCGTTGGACTTGCTTCGTTGACTTGGTCGTTGACTTGGGTCGTTGGACTTGGGGTCCGCTTGGACTTGGGTCGTTGGACTTGGGTCGTTGGACTTGGGTCGTGACTTTGTCGTGGACTTGGGCGTTGGACTTGGGCCGTTGGACTTGGCGTTACTTGGGCGTTGACATGGCGTTGGACTGGGCGTGGACTTGGGCGTGGATTGGCCGTGGGACTTGGGCCATTGGGCCGTGGGACTTGGCTGGACTTGGGCGTGAATGCGTGGGACTTGGGCGTGGGACTTGGCCGTGGACTTGGCCGGGACGAGGGCGTTGGACGTGGGCGTTGGGCTTGGCCGTTGGACTTGGGCCGTTGGGCGTGGCCGTTGGACTTGGGCCGTTGACTTGGACCGTGGGACTTGGCCGGGACTTGGGCGTTGGACTTGGCCGTGGGACTTGGGTGGGACTTGGCCGTGGGACTTGGTGTTGGACTTGCCGTTGGACTGGGTGTTGGACTTGGGCGTTGACTTGGGCCGTTGGAACTTGGCCGTTGGACTTGGGCGTTACTTGGGTCGTTGGCTTGGTCGGTTGGACTTGACCGTGCGTGGGCCGTTACCTTTCAACCTCGAGCCGGCCTGCTGCGGCGCCGGCCGGCGCGAGGCGAGCGTGGAAGTCGAGCCCGGGCCAGAGGCTCGTCGCGCGGTCGCCGCAGTCGTCGCGGCCGGTCGCAACACGCGCCGCGTCCAGGCGGGCCGTGGGGCAACGAACGCCGGCCGCGCGCACGCGACGCCAGCGCGCGCCGCTCCAGTAGTCCAGCGGCGTCCGGCGCGCAGCCCCCCGAAAGGCCGCGTTCGTGTCCGACAGCACGACACTTGCGCATCCTCTCTGCAACCGGCGCCGCGCTTCGAAGTTGCGACGCTTCTCTCCCCCTTTCACCTCTCCCCATTCACTCACCTTTCTCTTTGCCCCCCTCTTCTCCCTCTATCCCTTCTCCCCTTTCTTTCTCTTCTCCCTCTCCTCCTATTCTTCTTTCTCTCCCTTCTCCCTCTTTCCCCTCTCTCCCCTTTCTCCCTGCCTCTCTCTGTCCCCACTTCCCCTTTCGCTTTCTCGCACTCCCTCTCTTTTTCCTTTCTCTTTCTTCTCCCTCTCCTCTTTCTCCCCTCCCTCTCTCTCCCCTTTCCTCTTTCCTCCTCCCCCCTCTCTCCCTATATCTCTATCTCTAAGACTTGTCCTGTCTGAGGGGCGCTATATTTAGTTCACCGTCAAACATCTACAAACTTCTCAAATTTAAGTATTGAGAACAGCGGAAATGCTCCTAGTATGTTTCAAACAATCAAATAAAAATCTGATGAGTATGTGTCTCTACTGGAGCCATAATACAGCAATTTTTTTTTACTCCTGACCAGCACTAAGTAGTGGACAGTCAGCTTAACCTCTTTAGCCAGAGGCAGAAAAACAAGTAATAAAGACAACAATACCGTCAAGGTCAGGATAATCTATTTTGTTCATACAAATTATTATTGCGTTCCTATTCAAAAAAAAATGTTTCCTTATTTAAAACAACATTTATAAATCCAAAGTTTTCCATGAGAAAAAATTGTATTGATTGCATTGATCACAACTTTCAACTTTCTTTCATGAAAGTACAACAAATCACCAATTCATGAATACATGTATGCAAAAGTATTTTATAAAATAAGCAATATTATTTTACCTAAAACACATGTGCTTCCTTATTTATAATATTCTAATACAATTTTTACACTAAATAATAATTTTGTTCATTCCAGAGACATTACCAATGCCACAACCGAAGTTTTTCCATGGAGATGCTCAAGCACGTAGTTTCTACTTGAAATTTATCTGATGGATTAAAACTTATTCATTGCTTCAAAATTATCTGATTTGCTTTGCCAATTATTTGATTACATTGTCTGTTGTTAAAATAATTCAGCCTCTGGATCACTGCTGCTGATGTTGTTTTCTTTAGCTCTCTCAGGGAGAGGTGATTTTCTCTTCACACGCTACGATGTCTAATATAATTATTTAGAGCAGTTGGCTGAAAAAGGTCAACTTCATGGAATCAGCCGTTACATCAACTTTAAGTTTAATGCACAAAAAATACTTTAGAGGAACTTTAAAGGAACTTTTAGAGGAACTTTTTTTAAAATATTTTCTTTCTCAGCTCCGTCTTCTGGCAGCGAACAAGTTTTTCATTCATACAAGTCAGTGCTGCAAAGCTGGGAACTCCACAGGACCTACGAAGACAATGACGATTCACGCGGTATTACGAAGCGTTTTACTTGCTGACTTCATTTTTTATTGGGGAGGAAACTAGGTCAACGCGGGACGTCATCAGCAAAAGAATGCCAATTAGAAGTAGTGCACATCGTAAGTTAATTATAAACTAACTCTCATAACATTGTCAGGCAAAGCCATTAACAATAATTGTTTTTTTCCGTTCTTCCAAAATATATTTTGAAATAACTTGTAAACTATTTTTCTGTGTTTTAATACCTAAGATTCTCAAAAATTTATTTCAGAGATTATATTCAACGCACATTTTGACGAAATTGCGATTTTGGAAAACACATTTAATCTGAGCTAAGGATTAATTTCGCGGAAAAAACGAAGTTTTATTTCTCCTTAAATAAGCAGTCCCACAAATTTTAATGAGTCACTTTAATGAAACTTTAATGATTAATGAAATTTGATTTAATGATTTAATGATTAATGAATAATGATTTTAATGAAATTTTAATGAGTCAAAATACAATATTTTGTAAACATACCATTTCTTCTCCTAAATACAAAATGGCGATATTTGACATGTGCCATTTTTCTTCTGCACTGGCATACGTACATTACTAAAAAACATCAAGTCTTTATGTTATTAGGAGGATGACTGAACTACAGAAACAATTTACGCCAAACATATTTTGTGAAATCGTACTTGAACTCAATATAATCATCGATCACGTGCGTTTTACGTTCCTTTCTCATCTAAATTGGACTTCTTGAAATGTATAACATTTGTCTCGTATTTATCATATTTTAGGATTCTAGATACTTACTAAAAATTAATGTAATATTTCTTTTACTTATCAAGGCAAGAAATTAATTAAATAAGGGACGCAAAGCATACATCCCCAATTTATAATTAAGCATATAACTTACGCTTATATTTATTTCAAAATATTTGAACGTGTCATAAGTTTGTTTTATAAATCAGGATCAGGATCAGAGATCAGAGAATGAGAATGCAAAATGGTGGAAAAACCAGAATTTGTGTCAGAGAAAGAAATTGTGCAAGTAGGAACACGTATAGCATTGTTCCTCGTTCGACCGGAAGGATACACGTCTATAGAGTCGCAGTCTTTTTATTTACAAGGGCATCTAGAATAACCTCGTGAGTTGTATTCTCGCCTCGAAGACGAGCCAGAAGTGAAAATCGAAATTTTGCATCGCCGTTGACGTGTCACCTGGCGAACAACCATGGAGAGCGCTTTTGATGCGGAAACCTCTGACTTCAGAAACTAGAATATATTCTCAACTGTTGTATTTTCACAATATGAATGTGATATATGACGATGGGAGTACATTAGTCTTTTTTTAAATACGGGGGGGGGGAGGCAAGTGGCGACCTCGCGCGGTGACATCTGATGTTCAGTGGTGTCAGTGGTGACTCAGTGGTGTCAGATGGCACGTTCCGCACCTTCCCATATGCTCAGGGCCTTTCAGAATTAATTTTGAGAAAGTGTGATATTTAACATCCACAGCCATGTAAATATAATATTTGTATTTGATGAACTCGTATGTATTTTTGATTTTGGGTCGATTGTCCGGCTTCGCCACCTAGCTAACGATGCTTCCATGACGTATTACGTACCGTCACCGTAACTTTCGAACTCCGCCAGCCTGATCTTTTCTTCGTCCCACAGCTACAGAAACTGACACGATTTTACAGGAAAGCTACAACTCTATTTTGCCTCCACCTGGAAACTAACCCGGGATCACATTACTGGAAGCAAGTACGCTGCTCAAGAACGATCCTATAGGATTTTGTATTTCATATTTTTAAGCATTTAAGAAGATGAATATGCACAAATATCCACTACTATTCACGGCAAGTAATAAAAAATCTACATATGCCCATTTTCCATATTCGTTAGAATTTCTTCGCAGCACTTAGGTATTCAGTTGTTTTGCTTGCATTGCCACTATAATTGCGCAAATCAAGACGTAGTGTTGTTTAGGATGACACACAATTTTGACAATGAATGTCTTGATAGGACTTGATAAAACTTTGTATCGACTTTGCAATGGAAACTCAAACAAATTTCTTCACGTTTCTATGGTCCTTTACCAGCTCCCGAAATGTCTTCATTATGCATGGAATCACCTGAATTTCCATTTTGGTTCAATCTAATTATAAAGGAATTATAGATCCTTTTTCACGAAACATTCTGATATTCCTCCGTGTAGTTCAGTCTTCTAATTCAGCCAAGAGTCCAGAAGACTCCGACCAATTGGGTATGAACCCGTATGCTCGCAGGCGTAATCACGATTTTCGCTCACGATTTTGCTTGGATCGTATAGCCTACGCGAATGACTAATTTATTCCACAACGGGTTGTCGCTAGCCAATAAGGATCCTGGGGCGTGACTCCAAAAATATGCTAATTATGGGCCTAAAGCGGTACAAAAATGAAACGATGCATTGTGGGTTATTTTTTCTTTTCTCAAGATGCTTATTGCTGTAATGCACAGAAAAGGCAAACAATAGAATAACGTCCAATACTTCGCCGCAGTTACGGCTAATCTGTGTGTTGCTTATTTTCTTAGTAACTTAGTAACGGACGGACAGACGGACGGACAGACGGACGGACAGACGGACAGATGGTCAGACAGACTGACAGGCAAAAACACGGACAAACGGACAGATGGTCAGACGGACAGGCAAACACACGGACAGGTACATAGATGGACGGACGTTTTGAAGAAGAAAAAACACACTTTTTCCGTGTCAGGGGTAAAGCGTGTATTTCCTTTTGATTTTCGAAATGATATTAGCATTATGTAACTTTTTCTGTACTTTGTGTATTACTCCGTACAAGAAATTGCGTATACTCCATACGTATGCGCGAAAGTGATATTAGTATTTTTAACCTATTTACTTAATGTATGAGAAAATGCCACATTTTTAACATTAATTATCTTCCCGAAAAAAGTTAGATACTCTTGGTACTACAAAACGTTCTCGTAATAGTTGGTATTCTAATCTCTTCTGTGTCTGCAAGATTACCAGGAATTCTCGCGGTACCTACCGCTCATCTGGGGGGTATTGAAGAGTAATACTTCCATTCACTTTGAATATTGCAAAGACTTATCTCTATCACGTACTTTTACATATTTTTCCATTATTTGGCCTCACATCGGTGCTTTTACCATTCTTTGCAATGCTTTCATTTTTTTCTTATCAACCTCATTTTGATGTCGCTATTGTTACTCCACCAACTAAAAAAATAATTAAAAGATTATAGACTCGTTTCCACTTTGCCCTTCAATCATGTCCCAGATCATACTAATTTCAATACAATAACCGCAGCTCAACTTTCCCGACGAAATCGCATGCTTCATTCTAAATAGACAGGCAATACTCTTCTACATCACCCTCACTTCCTCAAGCCATCCTTAATTATCGTCTCCTATATTATTTCAGTAGTATACATACCTTTTGCAGCTCTTACACCCTACCAATCATTATAAATAAGGTCTCTAATGAAAGAGAATTTCATGGACACGTGCACTTTGACTTTAAAAATATGAAGAATTTGATTAAAAGAACGCATGTAAATATTCATGTCAAATGCAACCAGCAAATAACAGCATTGCTATAGTTAAATAACTTATAAACGAAGCATTCTTTGAACTTAAAATCTGGAATTTTCGGGCCAAAGATCTTAAAGAAACGTTCTTCGCACCGGAATCCATATGATGAGAACTTCTTGGACATTCTGCTGGTCCGGTGCTTCTCAATAAACCCCACCTATTCGGATAGAGCAGAATCTGCAACTGAATGTCAATTAAACTAATTTTTTGATATTCTAGGCGGTTTAATGGCACAGGTTTACATCTCAGTTCGGTAATAAAGTTAAATAATATTCCATTGAGTAGGGTAGTACTTTCCCGATGCTGTATTTTCGCATGGCCATTTTTACGTAACTTTTTCATGAGTAAAAACCTTTTCTAGTTTTGTGACTATCAAGCGAAAAGCTAACTGTCAAAGAAGGCTGTCAAATATTGCTATTAAGGAAGTATTTTGAATTAAATCTTTATTCAAAATGTGTTTTCAAACATCAATTTAATTCTTTTTATTGTAATTTGATATTCTTTAAATACATTGGAGGTTATCTTTGTACATTTTTTAAACAAATTAACACGTTTCATTACAAACTTTCCCTCTCAATATAGAAATGGAAGGATAGAGTGAAATTTAAAATGCGAGATTTCTCGCACGAGTACTCTAGTTTATTTATAAAGTGACATTAATAATCTGATGGTTGAAACAACCCTTCCTTGTGTACCTCTGAATCTTATTAAATAACACATAATTCGGGGAGGGGGAGATTGCCCAGAACCTGGTAAGACAAAATACCTAACAAAGATATACTCATTTAAAAAAATAAAAATAAAGAAATGAGATGTGAGAAAATTCTACGTTCGGTTCAATATATTTTGTACAGTGAACGCTGCTGTTCATGGCCAACCGCTTTCAAAATTGGCAAGCTACAGCCGGCCGACGCATATTTCCATTGAGAAGTGCAACTCGGCCAGTGCACCTGGCAGGAAGCAGCCTCGCACGGGTTTCTGGTGAGGTAGGTCAGCAAGGAGCTCAACCGCTGGAAGCCGGAAATGAGATAACTCTCTGCGAAGAGATTGCGCTCGACGCGAAAGTGACAAAAGTGGTCCGCTGGGTCGCGGCCCAGCTTATATACCGATTTCAACGTAACGGCACTTCAACGTCAATAGCTGAAAGGAGAGGGTGACAATGTCATACAATCGGGTGGTTCCCGGGGCGAATCCAGAGACAAATTTCGGGAGGGGAAATTAAAAATATTCTGGTCAAAAGTACCCGTATGATTACACATTTTGCAAACTGTCGCGGGCTATTTTCAGCTCATGCTGCGATGCAATTTTCTTCGTTTTAATGAGTATATATGAAAATATTTTTGCTTGAATGTTTCGTGACAAGTTAAAATAATTAAGTTATTGAAACATTTTAAGGGGGGGGGGATTTCCTTCATTTCCACCCCCTGAATCTGCGCCTGGGTACTCCGAAACAAAAATGTAAGTTATAACGAAGCTTGGGGTTTAGCGGCTCATTCACGATGGTTTCGCAGCCTTGTGACACTCGCGGGCGTCGCAACGCGGGGCGTCGCGGCACGGCGTGGCCTCGTCCTTAACCGCATCTACTCTCTCTCCGCTCCCGACCTTCAGCACTTTGGGTGGGGGAGCACGTGCCGGTCAACGCCCGCCCGGGCCTGGCTGGACGCGCGAAAAACGCGTGACGTGAGCCCAAGCGAGGAAGGCCGGCGCCCGACGTCACGTTTCGGGTACAACGTACTCGCCCCGTTACGAAACACGAATTTCCCGGGTGTTGCAGGGAAGAGAGCAGATTTCGTACGATTCCAAATATAGTATTAATACATTGCGGTTCAAAATAATGCTGGATTCACGAGTGAGAAATATGTATGCAACAAGGGTTGCCAGTTCATTTAAAATGTAAACTGTTCTCATTTACGTTATTTATCTTTCTTCTACCCCATTTCCACCTAACTCATATATGTATAGAATTTATATCAACTACAAGAATGTGTTCGAATTTCTAAGAGTTCCTTGTATTACAGACCTCTTTATAATTAAATGTCAAACAGTCCAATATTGTTCAAATTCCAAAATAGAGTGAAATCAGGTCAGAAACATATAGTGCATGTGCAAACGCCCACCAAATTTGGAGACCTGCACGTAATCTCCTTTAATGGAGTCACTCTCTCATAGTAATATGCCCCACAAACCACAAGTTGCCAGTCTTAAATATTTGAAAAACATTACAGTATAAATTATAGGTGGCGCATGGTTTACAAATATCATAAAAACTTCTTGCGATCGGGATCAATAATCCATGATGCTCAGCAGAGGACGCCTCCCATGAAGTTTTGAGATAATTGTGTTTAAAAGTTTTTCTAACATGTGAAAAGCAGATACTACACCATTAATAATTGGATTATAATTGGATTATTATTATTATTATCAAATGTTATAACAGTTCATAAACCATAATTCGTATTTTCGAGTTGTGACAGCGTTGCATCTCATGTAATCTTAAATTATATTTTTGACGTGCCTCACCATCCTATCATCCCGCTATCCATGAACCCTCAGAGCAAAGGGCCAGTGAGCACGGTCAGTTCGAGGCAACGATTAACAGAACGTTTTCTTTAAAAGGCGCTCCATATCCTCTTCGTCCTCCATCGCCGGCCACTTGATTGCGGGCTAGGATGAATCATGCATGCTCAAGGCAGGTGCCGCTAACTTTTCGAGGAGTTCAATAGACCACGACAGCCGGGCGAGAGTGATGTAATATTGCTCAAGCACAGCGAAGCCGGAACCATTGGTATAATCACGTCTCCGGTTTCTGGCAAAATATTAACACAGTAATTTAATAGCGCCAACCTGAGGAATGGTCGACGACCTGAAACAATGATCGATGTTTCGTAACGATCGGTGTAACAATTGATGCGTTGCTAGTATGTGTGTTTTATCGTAAACTGTAGTTTGTGGTTCCGAGAGTAACAACAGCACAAAGGAAGTGCAGCAGCAAAGTTCAAAATGTAGCAGCCTAAAATAACAAGGAGAGTGATTCGGAAAATTTTACAACTTCCTCCACTCAACTACCACTTCGAAGTTGTATTGGCCACAGGAACCCAACGGAGAAAGCTTTCCTCCTTTCACTCCGCCAAGGCCACGACGGGAGGCAGCGCCGCCGCCGCCGAGTCGCAACACCGCGCCGCGCCGGCACTGGCGGGCGGCCTCGCTTACTCACATGAAGCTGAAGGAGCGGCAGACGAAGTGCTTGGCCTCGAGGCAGCGCAGCGCGCAGGTGGCCGCCTCGACGCCCAACCACTGCTCGCGCGCCGCGCCCTCGCCCGCCAGGCGACGGCCCTCGCGCCGCGCGAACTCCGCCAGCAGACCCGCGCAGCCCTGCTCGTCGCGCCCGTCCGGGCAGTCCTGCACACGCGCCACACACCCCCCACACACACACCGCTCAGAAGGGCGGTCTGCGAAGAGATCTCTACTTCACGTTAGATGGGGCGAAGAGTACGCTTGAATTTACGCTATTATCATAGGCTGTGGCGCACCCAAGGGGGAGAGCTGGCGGGCTCATAGGACTTCATCTCCCCCTTCCAGAAGAAACAAAAACACACACATTTAAAAGTAAAGCTTTTACTTATTTTCGGTACCTACCGAAAGACATTCAATATAACAATTGTTTACGTTATAAATACTAGCTACAAGTCAACAAATAAAAATACATTTTATATTCTGCGTGAATGAAAAAATAAATATAACATACGATCCAGTCGGCTGAACTGTACCCTCCCCCGTGACAAATCCTGGGTGCGCCTAAGACCAAAGGAGTGTGCACCCTGTTATAAAAAAAGATGGTACTAAATATCTGGGTTCTCTTTTCCATTAATATTTAATGTATGATACTACAGAATGAATAAAACATATAATGACAATGAAATACAAAAATTACACAATGAAAATACACAATACCTTCAGGGTCTTACAAAAGGGGTCTGTGATTCACACGGAGCACTCTTTCACATACTTCAATAGCGCGAAATTGCGATATGTTTCTCAAAACGGCGATGCCGATCAGGTAATTAATAAGGAAAAGTGTGATTTTCTACTGTTTGTCCCTCTCCTGCTTTTCTTTTTGGGTAACATTTTTAGCATTCGGTTATGTATCAAAGCTTCAAACAGTGGTTTGGAAATTATAGACACAACTAAGTTTTTAAGACGTCAAGGCTATTAACAACAGTCGCTCTTTCAAAAGCAGCAGTTGAATATAAATACACAATGTTCCAAGCATCTTTGTCAATTGTCACATAAAACCTGACGAATACGTCTGGCATACAATGTGAACGAGTCATCTCGCAATATCTTCAATACTATACTCTTAAACATAAACGACGTGAATATTTAGTGAGAAAGCTTACATTATTTCCGTCGCATAACCACGAGTTGGGGATACAGGTGCCGGGTCTGCACTCGAACTCCTTAGCGCCACAGCCGTGGTCCGCAGCAGTCTTCGCCACAGCTGCAACACACACTCGACCATGAAATTGTGTTCGAAAATATTCATTTCAAACTCAAATTTCTCTTCGGTATTGAATGAAATGTTGCCGGATGCTTTTATGTATTCAACAAAAAAAAATTTGATCTGATTGTGAACATCATCAGAACAGTCGTCTCAAAAGAGAGACATTTTTACATACACGCAAGTGAGAAACATAGTGTATTCGAGTATCCCAAATAATTGAAATATGTTTTTAACATCGAGCTTACTCCGGCAAAGCGTCCAAATGGATGTTCACTAATTACTAGGAAGTGTCACCACATTATGGAACAATAATGTATAATCACTACTACTGTAGTTCCTTTTATAATTTGAAAATTACATTTCTCTCGCGAATTTTGTCCCGAACGAGTTACATAAGCAGTTATTTATTTAATTTTACTTCCGTATAGTCAAATACCTAATGTACGTTATTTTTGGAAGCGTTGATTGTTATTTACGGAAATTCGTCGATTCTTTATCTTGTTCTTAAATCTATGTGACCACTAAATTAAAATCCCAACAAAAAATCAAAGATTGTATTCACGTAAATTTTCAATTTTTAAGTAAGATTCGCCCGTCAACTTTGCTTAAAATTATTTTTTAGTTAAGTAAACGTAATCTGAAGGGTATTGTGAAGCAGAATTCAAAATACAATCATATATATTACTTTTGTTTTAATTAGTGAAAATGAAGACAAAATAAGGAAGAGACAAAAGAATCATATCCAGAGAAATGAAACGTATAAGTAATTTGTGGATTACTATTTATGTACTGCATTTTCTTCCTCAAACAGCTTTATTTTTTATGTGATCAGGAGTACGTTATGGATCTTCGAAATACTCCAAGAACCATAAACATATTACACTCTTAAATTAGTTTGTCTCATAAGAGTTCATTTCATTTTGTTCTTACAAAGATTCGAAAGAAATTAAACTTATTTGGCGTAAAATTATCGTGAAAAGTAAGTGAAAGGACACCGAAAACACCTGTTACACTTAATGTTATTTTTTTTTAAATTATAGATATAATCTACATCAGAATACATTCCTATTTTATTATTCCTGAAAACGATCCTAATCTATGAGCCAGCCTTATTTTAAAAATATTAAAGAAGTGTAAAACCTCGCCCTAAATGGTAATTTTTATTGAATAATTTGGGACCATTTTTAAGGAAATGATGTTTAAGCGTTACTGTCAATGCGAAAATTCAATCTCTTTTCACAGCAAACCATTGAGTTTAAGAAAAAAAATCATATGAAGTCATTTTAAGTACTTTCAGTCACCAACGCAATGATGTTTACAAGTTCCTGGAAATGTGCATATTAAAGGCTTAAGAGATGTTTTAAAAATTGTTAAAAAATGTTATGTTAATGTTAAAAAAAATACAGCAAATTTAATTCGAGGTCACCGTAAACAGTGCTTTCGGGCGAGGGCGAGGCGAGTGCGCGGCGGGACTCACCAGCGGCGGAGGCGGAGGCGGGCGGGCAGCGCGGGATGTCGCAGGGCTCGACGCGCGCGTCGCCGCCCACGAAGCACCAGGGCTGCTCGACGCGGCCGCGCAGCCGCCGGCAGTGGTTGTGGCCCGAGAGGTTGGCGCGGCGCGCGCGCTCCGACACGCGGTACTTGAGCGCGCCGGCCGCGGCCGCCGCGTCCCACGCCAGGCACGCCTCCCCGCTCGCCGACACGTTGGCCGCGCCGCCGTACGCGTGCCCGTACCCCGACACGCACCCTGCGGCACGCCCCACAGCCAGGTTGTTCAGCGGGGCTACAACCCCTTCCACTCAAGGTTTATGTTACAAAATATCAATACAAACAATACACTGCCAGTCTGGATGGCCGAGATCCCTAAGGCTGTAGCGCCGTAGCGATCTCGGACCGAAGGATCGCGGGTTCGACTCCCGCCTCGGGCATGGTTGTTTTGTGTTCTTCCTTTCACCCCATGTTATCCTCATAATTACCATACCGTTACACGCAATAGTGGTCGCTAATGACCTAGAAGTTGATGCCACCTTAAATAGGAAAAAAACACTAAATACAGTGAAATCTCTTTTAAGTGGACATGGTTCTGGAAAAAAAGGCCATTCGAATAGATGGCTGGACACCGGACATCGACGTATCATTGGTATTTGCAATTAAGTTGGTATGCACTGTTTGTTGGACAATTGTGTCATAGTGAATTATTTTTGTTACTTTTTTATACATTTTTAAATACTCTTAACCGACAAAATGTCTATCCGGATTGCCGAGATCGCTACGCCACTAGTGTCGTGGTGATCTCGTATCGAAGGATTGCGGGTTCGAATCCCGCCTTGGGCATGGATGTAATTGTGATCGTCCCTTCCCCTTTCATCATCATCCTCTCACTTCATTAAAGGAGGGTTAATATTTCTCTGTGCGAGCAGGAGGCTCTTGTCCTTAATGCGATGTACAGTTGGTTAATTAAAACGGGTGCAGGAAAAATACAAGCAACTTTTTTGCGCATGCACATTTCAACTTGTACTCTTTTTTACACCACGTTCATGTACTTAAGATGTTTACATTCACTACACGTGTATGCGTCAAAGTTGTTAAACAATGCTGCTTAATAGAGGGAAAATTTTCATCTGTCTTCATCATAAAAAATCAGTCTATTCTACACCTACACACACACACACACACACACACACACACACACACACACACACACACCACATACACATACACATACACATACACATACACACATACACATACACATACACATACATACATACATACATACACACACACACAAAGGGCTGTGAGTGGAAATGATCGTTTTAACAGGTTTCATTGTATACATTTCTTTAGGTCGCTTTGAACGATAAAAAAGGATTCTTTCACAAAGGTTGTGTACGAAATAGATTTACATTCTAAGACGAAAAAATGACAAACAGTATTTTAGATTACCTTAGAACATTCTTCTTGTAGGAATTGTCATTAGATGACGCTTCACAAGCTTTAGTGGGAACAAGATTACAGAACTGTCTCGACGAATTTTGATACGAAGGGGGATCTCGCGAGTCGTAAAATAAACTCTTTTTATCGAATTGGAGAGGAAAAGACTCAACCATTAAGATTTTATAAATGGAGGCGTGTATGTCAAATTTGTTGAGCGTAAATGATTCTGAAATTGGCTTCCGTCATGAATAGAGATGACAGAAGAAAGCAATTGATTGTATACAATTATAATGCCCGCAAATATTATTAGTCATTAATATCGTAAACTCGCCTTCGATTCACGAACATCGTATTGAAAATTCTCAAAGAAGTATCAAAAAATCTACATCTGAGATAATTTGCTGAGGTTTGCTTTTAATGTTTGAAAAATAGATCTACACCCCCGCTGTTGGTGCTCAGCGAGTGCCTTACGGAGAAAGGCCCACGTTGATCGCGTTTCCGGTTGTAATAACTGTGCGAGTGAAACAATTTCCGATTGTAAGGATGAGAGAACGTTGCACTAGTCGATCGTGTTAGACGGGTTCTAGTCGAAACTGTTTGTACTACCACTAAAATGGCTCGTGATTAGCGAACTAGCTTCCCGTGGTGTGTAGTGAGTTCGATTCCCGGTCGAAGCGAAAGTAGTGTTGTAGCTTTCCTTTAAAATCGTCTGTTTCTAACATTGCGTGACGAAGGAAAGCTCAGGTGGGCGGAGTTTGCTAGTTATGGTGAAGGGAATACGTCACGATCATCACTTCTCTCTTACCCTCCCCCCCAAAGCGTGGGAATTAAATTAAACTCAGGCAAAGAGGACACCATTAACTAGCTGGTAAAGTTGCTTGACCATCGATCCAAAATGCCAAATACATTCACAGTCTTACAATTTAATATTCGGCCGTCGGCTGTTTTTCGTTTCTTTAATGATTCATCACTCATAAATCAGGACTCCGGTACTCATAAATCATCGAACTCATAAATCGTACAAAGTGAAAAAATGGCACCAGTATGCTTGATAATATTATCTGAAATATCTCTGAATGTCAGACGTATGAATTCAAAATTACTGTAACTGAATTATTCGTGTGAACTATCGCGGAAATACTCCAATTCTATATTCGGACACCAGAGCTTTTCGCAATTGCGCAGAGGAAACGGGCGTAAATTTGGAAAGAAACTGTTGAAATCCAGAGCTATAAAGATAACTTTAAATTGCAAATATTACACGCAATATTGCGCGAAAACTAGTAAAATTTCCAAAAACATGTACAAGACCTTCATGTAAGAAATAACTAAGTAGAAAAAAAATCTTATAGGACGAATCTCTCTTTAATTTTGTAGTTGTATCAAGACGCCCGAAAAAATCAAAATTTTTATATTTTCGAAAATTCAGAGATAGCTATGAAAATCAGATCTCTGCCACCTTTATAAGTGTGTTTTACTCCATTCTTATAAGATATTGGAGCCGCTTTTGAGAAAAAAGAAAATTGAAAATGTCCGGGGTCCTTCATGTAAAGTACTTCCCAAAAACTGAATATTTTCAAAATCGCAGAGCTTTGACTCAGGCCAGATCGAGAGGGCTTTATTAAATTTGTAAAAAAGTGCTCGTGTGTTTTCGCCGCTACTGGTGTTCACAGACGGACAGACATTTGGAAAAGAAACCCCCTTTTCCCCATCATAGGACCCGAAAATCTATCTCGAAATCGATTTTCCGCAGCATTACATAACTTTTCCTACACTACGTATATTACTCGTATACCACTCGTATACGAGAAAGTAAAATGTGAATGGTTGTAGGACGTTATATTTGTTGATGAAAGTAAATTTAACTTGTTCGAATCTGGTGGCAGAGTTGGAGTGTGGCGGAAGCCAAATTTAGAGCTTCAAAAGAAAAATATGCTAGCTACAGTGAAACATGGTAAAATAGTCTGGGGGTGCATTTCCGCATCAGGAGTGGGACACATGACCTTCATTGAGGACACAAGAACAAAGAAAAGTATATTGAAACTAAATCAATAAGAAAATTCGAGAAACATCAGTTACCTCAAAAAAAGGACACAATACGAGGAATGCAAGAATGGGCGAAAATGGACCCTCAGTACCTCAAGAAAATAGTTTTCAACAAGTCAAAGCATCTATGACAGGCACGTCAAACCTCGCCCGCGCGAGCTACTTGCCAACCTGGGAAGCCCAGCGCTCCTACGAGTACGGACAACTGCCTCTTTCTCCGCTGTCAATTCTCCTCCAAAGGGGTGAAGCTAAAGTGGTGCGAGGTGGGGAATAGTGGCTTCATACGAAAATATGTTTGCCAGAGTTGTTCTATCAAGCAATCTAAGATTTGAATTATGTTTACCTTTATTCTTTACTATTTAATAGTTTCATTTCGTGTTTATTTTCTTTTTAAATTCTGCATTGAATAAACATTTTTGCCAAGGGGCAGGAATATGTTTGAATGGCGAATCCTTCCCTTGTTTTCTTTTGGCTGTGTGTTTATAAATCATTCAGTTATTTATTGTGTTTATCAGTAGTGTGAATTAAATTAACAAGTCTCTATAAGTTAACAATTCTAGCTTACGGACTGACAGCATTTTTTAACAGACAAAAATGTTGATTGATTATACTTCCTAACCTAAACGTAGAAAGTCAATGCTATTATATCACTCTTAAATAAACACGATTACAAAATAAAGATATATAGATTCAAAATGTTTAATTTTCCTCTCAGTTGAGACTCTGACTGATATATTATTTCATTTTAACGGATTTCTTTGATTTAAAAACAAAATGGGAATTAATATAGCTAAATTTGTGACCATAACTGTCAAGAAACTTCTCGCAAAGACTGTCGTGGGCCAGGGATCTAGGAAGTACCGCCACTCGGAGAAATTTGTACAACCCCTGCTTTTAAATCTCGCGCCAGTTGTTCTGGACGCAGTGCCTGCGATGTCTAGTAAGCTTGTTGCTTTGCCCGCGACCTTTACAAGCCTGATCTAGGACAAGTAATACGAAGGAATACTAAGACCAAACAAATATTTAATTTTGTTGTGTTTCATTTGGAGGACGAATATTAATTTTGCATTAGTGAAGTTTTTATTTATTGTATTACTGAATATAATATTTCTTTTCAGAATATACTTCATTTACTACATTACGTAAAGCTGACAAATTTTATACTAACCTTTGTACAAAATGTATTATGCAATTTAGATGTTATAATATAAAATATTTGAGAAGAGGAAGTGGCCAAATATTAAATTGTGTCGCTGTACATACATGCAAGATTTTTAATTTTAACTAAATATTATTTTTAATAATTGTTTTTAACTAATTATTATTTTGACTTCATTCTTCTCAACTTCTAACATATATTTAACTTATGTGTGTGCGAAAGTTGCAATATTTAGTTAACTTGTAAAAAAAACGTTAAAACTACGGAAATGGTCGGGTCCTTCATGGACGTTACAATCAGTTTTGACTGAATTTACGTTGCATGAAGTTTTTAAGGTCGTCCTCAAATTCGGAACCGCCCTTATACGTGTGGCTTACGCATCCCAAATTGCTATTTGTCCTTAGTTCTGAATCGAGGTTTTTCACATCTGAAGAAAATACTTCGTAGAACAATTCTGATTGCAATTTGACAACATCTATTCGTATGCTTAAATAAAACTTGAAATTTATTATAATAATTTCTTTGTTCTTTTAAGATCAGTAAAACAGACTCTATCTTCTCTTAAATCGTGATAAACCATAGGTTTTGCATTCGAAAAGAAAGGGTAATTTAATTCTCCATCAGACTTAATTCCATGAAATAATTTCTAAAAGACAAACAATATCTGTAAATGAAAATAAGCAATCGAAAACAATTCTTTTCCAAAGTACAAAAATCTAGTATCCTCCATCCCATATTTGTGGATTGCATTCCAGCAATAAATTTTGTGTTTAATACTCGTAGTTACAAAAAGTCCACAGCAAGTCTACTTATTTTCACATTAGTTCCTTCTCAATGAGTTTCTGAGGTATGATTTCTTTCAGTGATATGAGAAATATATAATTCCAAATGAATGCGGTGGTTAATAAGGTGCTTTAAATAATTAGAAACAAAAATGAGAACAGTGTTATTGGAAAATAAAATAAATATTTGACCAACATTTGTTCATTCTTCGCCATATTCTTTACAAAAATTGAAAGTTATCACGGCAAGTATACGCTAACCCTCAGCAAACTACAACTCCACATTTCGAACTGCTGTTGGAAGCGTGTGAGTCAACTCTTATCGAAATTTAAGTATTCCAGAAACTACATAAGTAAAACGGCGACTTTCTCATGAAGTGCATATGAGCTAGGGTTATACGGAATATTTTAATGCTCGTTTCCAGTACTTTCAAATAAGTTCGTGTACTTTTAATTTTATTTGAAAGCAAGCTACATTGTAGAGAAGATATTACAATGTTCTCAGCAATCGACAAGTTTAATCTTTTCCTTACTTTTACTTTTCTGCGCACTATTGCGTGAAGTCAAGAAAGAATGCAGGGCCTTGTCGTCAGCATGAACCACAAAACGCGGTTCGGGAGAACCTGTCACGCGGCGATGACTAGGTATTACCAGGCACAACGTAAACTGAAATAACTACCCGACAGCGAAACGGCTTCGGCAAGGACACAAACGACGTTCGGAAGGGGGAAAAGGAGCGGGTATTTATAGCCCGAGTGCGCGTAGCGCGATCAGGGGCGACCGCTTGCATATCTCGCGCCCGTGACGTCGTCGCTGCGCGTGTGACGTCAGCAGAACTCACCTACGTCGTCGTGCGGGCGCTGGCACAGGGGCGCGGCACGCACGCGCTCGCAGCGCTCCGCGTGCCAGAAGAAGTAATCTGCGTCGCAGAGCGGGCCGCGGCCGTCGGGCGCAGCTGACGCCGCCGCCGCCGCCCCGGGGCACCGGAAGCGCCGCGACGCTACCACGCACAGCTCGCCCTCGGCGCCGTCCGCGGGGTCCACGTCCGCAAAGGGCTCGCCCAGCCACCCTGCGGCCGCAAGCGCGGGTAACCCTCTTTGCCAAATAAAGCGTTTACTACTGCCTTTTTGTTTTGAAATGTACTTGGAACGTTATTCACATAATAAATCAGCAAGTAATATCAAGGAAAGAGAACACGGAAATGGTTGTCGAGATCCATATAAAATCATACTTATATATAATTCAAAGAAGAGCAGCAAAATACACATTTCCGAGAAACATGGCCTAATACTGAGAATCGCTCAGAGAACACAAAAGTGAATGACATATTTCCAAGCATTGTACAAGTCTACAACAGTTTCTCGGAAATTCGAAATTTCCTTTGCAGGAAATCCAAGTTAGAAAAGTCAGATTGTTTCGATTGATCATCAAAATTATTACAAAATACAAAATGAAACAAAACGCCAGAATAGAGCAGAATCCTAGAATATAGTTCTCTACAACAGTTTGTCGATTATGTGATTGATTTATTTAGTGATTCCGGGCGCGTCAACTGCTAAGGTCATTAGTCCCGTAAATGTGTCATGTCTTCATTGCGGGAAGTGGTGATGATCTTCCCCCGATGCCCTTCCCGGCGAGATCCGGTGTCGATCTATGTAGCTTGTGGGTATTTTCCCTAACCAGGTATCTCCCACCAGCGGGGATAAGCTCTACGCTCCCGACTCGTCTTCGAACCATAACCATGAGTGTTTTATACTCTCTACTCTATACACCCTCTGACAAGTGTGATAGTGTAGTGCATGTGAGGCTGTGTGTAAGAAAGGGGCGAGGTTAGGACAAGGAAGAGGAAGGAAAGATCGCGCGCGGTCTGTGGCCCGTTTGTTAGAGTACTGCTCAGGCATTCGCCTGGTGCCGATCGGAAAAACCACGGAATACTACCTACAAGAGCAGTCGGCCTCTAGAATTTCTCTCCATACAGCGGCTGAATTCGACCTAGCTGTCTAGCTAGTGTCGAAACTCCTGCCACCATCGGGACTGGAACCCTATGGCCTGAGAGCTGACTGAGAGTCAGAAGCAGTACAGTGACATCAGTTGATGTCCTGAGCCACTTTTGCCGGTTATAGCAATTTGTCTTGATTGTCATTTTCCAATGTGTATTGAGTAGAAGTTAGAATGGGCAACTGTGGAGTGATTGTGTCAGTTTCAAGTGAGGTCGCTTCAATTGAAGTAATGCTCGGTATAAAATTATGTAAAAGATTAACAAGAAAGTAATTAGGAAAAATATAACTGAAATGAAGGAATAAGAAGGGGAAATAGCAATTCATGACCTTCTAGAATAATAATAATAATAATGTGTGGGTTCATTTAAGGAAGCTTTTGGAGGAATAGAGATAGGTAAACTACGTTGAACTCGGAAAACTGTACTAAAACAACGTGAACGTGGGTCAATGAATAAAATAACCAACAGGATTTCATTTTTTAAATAACTTTTAGTCCATGTTCCTATGATAATAGTTTTAAGAACAATGAGCAGTGTAAATATTTTCTTTCATTACTTTTTATGTAAAACGATGCTTATGTAGTCAACTTCCTATACTTTTCAGCGCCAAAAATTAAATTCTATTGGTGAACTCAAGGAGGGATGGAATCCTTTAAATAAAATAGCCACATTTGATACCAGCTCGAAAGATAGTGGCGCTTGAACGCTTCCGTTCCCTCCTACTACGCAACGTCGTATCCGGGATAGGATGATATCTGACTACAGAACGTTTTCTGAAGGACAACGTTTCCGCCTTGTACGGTTAGAATTGTGCCACAGACGATATTATGTTCGTTTATGCATCGAACTAATGGAGTGATACGTCGCAATAATGTAAATCTTTAGTTCGTTTTTCGAAAAATATAAGATATTCAAATAAATTCTAATTTTGTACGTTTTTATTGTTATCACCTCTTCATGTGCTCATGATTTCCTTCTGGAAACGTTTCAAAAATGAAATTTCTCTGGCAATCACCCACCACCCAACGTATTGTTCGTTAACTAGTACTTCAAACGTACGTAGAATTATGGGAGATATTTTCGACGAGAGATGCATTTATTCGCATGAAGTCCCCGGCCGCTGAGGAAAACCCCGTCCGTGGCGCATGCAGGCGGATATGCGCTCGGTAGTGTCGCCTCGTCAGCATCGGCGGTCGCACCCGCGCCCGACCAGCTGCTCCGCGAGGGCCTCCAGATAAACCGACTGCGGCGCAGAAAACCTCAGACATGGCAAATGAGTCACTCCAGGCTTTTAACATTGCATTACATTACGTTGTACAACGACAGAACAGCGTTCCGCCGTGAGGCTCTTCAGTTGATTGGCCGAGTAATTTTGTACCAGCAAAGTGTGGGAGTGATAATGTTGTCACCTCCCTGATAGTAATTTCATTTGCTGAAACCTTCAACCAAATGATAATTTGGAAGTATAGTTTGAAGATAATGACAGGGGTTTATAAAAGAATACGATAGGTGAGATAAGTAAATGTCAGAAACAGTCTATCTTTATCTAATGAAACAGAGATATCGAGAAAAATACGAAATGAGAGTGAGATTCTTAGGTGGGAGAGTGGGGGGGGGGGATCAGTTCCTATTTCGCAAGTGACTGTCCCTTGTTCATGACTTAAATTATTGTAGAAATTATGTGGCAGTTTCGAAATAAAGAAAGTAATTGGTTCTTTGCAAGGTTGTTGTGAAGTGTCTTATTGCTAACAAACCAAGGGGGGGGGATTACTGTTATTCTTTTAAAAAAATGTTTTGAAGCATTTGAAATTTGTTTAATATGATCAGAGCAACTGAAATCCGTACAGGGGCGTGCGTTAGTTAACATTGGGCGAAGGATGGATTTGTATATAGTTATTTAAAGAGGAATGTGATTGAGAATAGGACTAAAATAGCCATCGTCTATTGGATTCATTTACTTTAGATGAAATTAATTTAGTGGACACCAAGGAATGATAAAAGAGTGCGGAGATATAGACCGAGGAAAGATAGGATACCTTGAAGTAAATATTTTACCTATTGATTTAATACAATTGAGTTGGTTTTTCTATAATTGTAACCAATTTTCTGTTTTAGGTGATACTGAATTACATGACATTTTTTGTTTAACTCATTAATGCCCAGAACATTTTTTGTCAAATTGTTGATATTAGGAAAACATGTTTACATAAGTCTACTGTGAATGTTTATATCACTATTTTTTGTTTATAATTTTTAGTTACAAAAATATGCCTGGTGCACGAACGCACCACCGATAACATGCGATTTGTGATTACTTTTTTTTACTGAAAGTTAGAAAAACATTTCTCATGCAGAACAGTATTACATTCGATGCTCTTACCAGTGGCATGTGATTTGCAGAGGACAGAGGACTCCATGCTCTTTTTAATTGTACAACAAAATGGCCTTTTTGGTGAAATCAAATTTACAAGGTAATACGACTGGCGACTGTAGTGGCATTTGGAGTCATATTCGGTTCTCTAACAACGAATATAACATAACATTATACTTAAACTCATATAGGTACATGGAAATAAACGAAACTTCCTAGTCTCACAGAAAATAGTAAACACTGAAGTCTAAAATTAAATGAAGATCTGTTAGGTACTGGGCAAGAAAATCATTAAAATGATATTGATTAATATACTTCTCATTTGTTTTAATGTTTCTCAACCTCTATCTGTAGGTTAACACTCCGTGACATTTTTACGATAAGACGAAGACAGCACGACGCCTTTGTTCTTGATAATTATCATTCACTAGTACGTCATCGTTCATGGCAGATAATATCATACTTATGGCCAGGATAAGATACGGAAAATGTAAAAGTCCCACACAAAAAGAATTTTTAGGTAGCCACCAGCAAAAGCGATTACATTTAAGGCTTGCACTGTGTTCCAAATGTTCAATTTTTAGCATGAGAGCTAAATGTGAGACGCTGCTCAAATTTTCAGGTAAAACCTTTATTGTTCTGTAGTTAAAACTACGAATGCAAGAAAGAAAACAAAATACTTTCGCCTGACTGCATCAGCTACTACGTACCACAATGTATCGTTGTATCCAATTGATTTTCATACTTGAAAACGGATGGCTGTAAGGCTATCTAAAAACTAGTGTATGTCACATGTGGTAAAAGTGACATTTTATTTTGCGAGTAGGGAAGGTTCCTACTCGCGAGTCCAACGGCAGGTACCATTGCGCCACTCGGCCAATTGGTCGCGTGCCGCAACGTTTCCCTCTCGCAAAATAAAATGTCACGTTTATCGCTCCTATTAAAATAACTGATCTGTTGTGTTCTTTATTATAACATTAAATAAGGAATAGAAATCATTCTTAAGTACCGCCTTGAATATACTTGTTACCCACAAGTATGTAATTAGAAGTTTTCTCACCAGAATCAAATGCAAAGGGACGTGCGAATACGTCTCCTGCTCTCTTCTGTCACGTGGAATCTAGAAACGCTTGCATTCGGACTAAAATCTAGGACAACTGAAGCGCACATGACAAATTGGGACATTTGGTGCAACGTACATTGTCCAACGTGAAGAAATCGTTCAATTCGTTTAATCGTTCACATTCTTGGAGAAAGGATCTCTCACCTGGCCACCACTTGTGGAACGCGAACAGCTCCCCCGAGCCGTGCCAGTGCCAGGCGTCGCCGGAAGAGCGACGGATGCCTGCGGTTAACACCCTCTGCACTTGCGGATGCATCACCACCAGCCACTCCGACACGGCGTCGCTCTCCTCCTGCAGCAACGCAGGGCGCCCGCTTGGGGGTCACATGCTCTCGTGGGGCTTTACTCACTACACATTGGTTTAAAAGAAGAATAAGGGAGATTTGGAAAACAATTGTTTGTTTGTTTAGAAAATATCACATTACATGTAATTTCATATTTGTAATTACATTTTAAAACCCATGTGACCATCGAAACTAGTTACAAATTATATGACGATTTCTTCTATTTCACGTTAACTTCTTTTCATAATTTTTTTATACGATTAATTGTTGGTAACGCCTCAGAGGTAAAATGTAAAAACACTAGTTCCTATGATTATGATTACGTTTTTGATTCTATGATCATTATTGATTGCGTAATTCGTATTATTACGTATTGATTACATATGATTACATTTGATTCTGATGATTTTCTTACATTATAACTGATATTATATTCTTCTATATTGAACACATTCATCGAAAACGAGCAGTAAATCTAGATGAAGAATGTGATTTTATAATTTTGCTTTAGAACGCAAGTAATTCCGTATAAACAGATTTTACAGGAGAAAACAAAAATAAATCTTTATGATACTACATATTAACAGGATGTAAGGATAAAAGCAGCTGTCCTAGTGAGGAGTGTTATTAGTATGGTTGTTGTAGTAGTAGTTGTTGTTGTTATTATTATTATTATTATGATTATTAATGTTATTAATACAATTTGGGAGTTAGGAAAATATTACAACTATATAATACAAATTAAACACCCGAGTTTTCTAATCCCATTTTTACAAACTTTTTCGAATTTACTGTTTTCTAAAGTACGCAGATAAGCAGAGGTTATTGTGAATTTCATAAAGGCTTTAAATTCAGGTTTCTCAATCTTTTTCACCCACACTCGTTATAAAATAAACACATATGCGAAAAATGGAATTCACGAGTTTTTAAAGAAAGATAAGGGTATACAGTCGCAGAACTCTCCGACACGTTTATGTCACAAATTTTTGGTTTGCCTATTTTTTCTGAACTTGCTTGAAAATGAAACTAAAATATATGTTTAGAATGGAGTGTTTAACGGGCAAAACATTTTAAAATACGTAATACGAGATAGAAGTCCATTCATATTTGTCCCCACAATTATTATGCAGTTATCTTTGACTTTTAGACGTTGGGTTTCGATACCCGCAGAATCATTCTTGGCGAACTCTTTTTAAGGCGACGTCCTCTCAGCCGTCGTGCTTCAGAAAGATACTCTCTCTCTCTCTCTCTCTCTCTCTCTCTTTCTCTCTCTTTCTCTCTCTCTCCCTCGCCCTCTCCCTCTCTCTCGCTCTCCCTCTCTCTCTCCCTCTCTCGCTCGCGCTCTCGCCCTCTCTCGCTCTCGCCCTCTCTTGGTCTCCCCCTCTCTCGGTCTCCCCCTCTCTCGGTCTCCCCCTCTCTCGGTCACCCCCTCTCTCGGTCTCTTTCTCTCTCGCTCACTCTCCTTCTTCCCCTTTCTCCTTCTCTCCGCTCTCTTATTTCCCCCTTCTCTTCGTAGATAAGAATCTATCGTTTTTCCTATTTCTCGTGTTTGTGAATGACCTGCTACACAATTTATTTTCAAAAGTACGACTATGTGCAGGTTATTGTATAATATACTGAGTTTTTCAATCAAAAGTAGACGAGGATATTTTGCAGGGTGATCAATATAAACTACATTTCTGGGCGGGAAAAAAAATAGCATGACAATAAATAGTTCGAAAAACAAAACAATCACGTTCGGTAGGGGTCGCAAATACAGTGAAACTCAATACCGTTTACGCAATGAAAATACTCCAAGAGTCTTGGTCTTGTAAGTACCTGGGGGAATTGCAAATGAGTTTGATAGAAAATCGAGTTGGGAAAATCAGGTAAACTTTATCGTAAGGAAAGCCTCGAATATTACTATGCGTTTTACTATGCGGATACTAACAAAGAGTACTGCGAAAGCGAATTTGATTACTTATCTCTAGTTCGTCCATTAATGGAATACGGGGCGATTTGTTGTGACCTTTTAGAAACTTACAAATGAAATATTTGAATCGACGTCAGAGGAGAGCGTGTAAACTTACTTTCCGCAGCAAGAAGAAGAAAGTAAAATGGGGTCATTTAGAAATCAGGAGGGTTAAGACAAAACTCTTTATCCTGTACAAAGCATATGCCGGTTATTCAGCTTGGAAAGATATTTTCATCCGATTCGATAGACCCACTAACTTTAGTAGAGGGGATCACATGCCCAAAATTCAGTTCAGGCCACAGAGAACAGATGTTGGAAAATATTCCTTCTCAAATAGAACAATAACGGACTGGAATACGTTGCCTGCGACAGCCATGTAACCCTTTCCTCTAGGTGAACAAAGTTTTAAAAGAATATGAACTAAAGGCATTTGTAAAATTTATTGATTAGAAAGTTAGGCTTATTAAAATCGTTATTATTTTATTAATATTGTTATTATTATTGTGATAATTACTATTAAATGTATTGCTTTATTAAATATATAATTAATTTTAAGTAGTAGTTGAATTGCAGTGTCGTGACGTGTTGTGAAGTGCAGTGCAATAGAGAAGTAGAAAGAGAAGTGAAGTGCAATTGAAGTGAAGTGTATTTAAAAAGAGTATTTATTAGTTAAAATATCTGTGCAGGACAGTCATAAAATGTAGAGTTAATGCTACTATTGTTATTATTGTCTTTATTGTTATCATATTATTATTATTATTAATATTATTATTGCTATTATTGTCTTAAAATGATTTGAAATTACATTGCATTAATATTCCTAATCCTTATAATATGTTAATTGTAGTGTTCTGCCACCAGGTTGTATAAACCTACATGCAGAAGTAATAAATCTATCTTATATTTTATTAATCCATATCCCCATCAGTGAATTTCGTACCGTCAATTTCTTAACTAAAAGTTGTGGACGACGCCCTCATCGTGTGTTTGAGCTTCTTAATGGCAACTATGCTCTCAGGTCTCAGCTACTCTAAAAAAAGTCTTTATTTTCCTAAACTATACAGGATAATATCGTTCATTCATTTGAAAAATGCCCCGAAAGTTTCTTTCAAATCCGTTAAAATTCTCTTGGAAACGTGGATAATTTTAACTTTATTTTTAAAACACATTCTTTCAGAGTTTTATTTTATACAACATAAATAGAAATTATCAACTGATATTTATTACACAAATAAATTCAAGTAATTATCACTCACTTCTCATTACGATATTGATAGTGATTAATTTCAAAACTCTAAGAATACAGTAGAACATTTCACCATACATTTGTGGATGTGACTATTAGAAATGTGATTAAAACAAGTCGTATAACTCTAGTATTATAGTGATATTAATAACTCGAAAGAAAATGCTATTACTTGATGAGAAAATATAATTCTCAAATTTGTAGTAATCTAACAAGTATGTGTAGTTTCAATAAAAATAACTTATATGATGAGAAGTGCATTACCTAACCCCGCAAACAACATCGACGGTTAAGGCTCATTAGAATGCTTATTAGAGAAGCCATTAGCGTAAAGGTCTATTCACAATGTAAACCTAAACATAAGTATAGCGCATAGACATAAACATTAACATAAATGATAGACTGAAGTATTCACATTGTCTAACATAAACGTGAGCAAAATTAGAGTTTCTATTGGCTGTGAGACAATCTGGTTTACTATTGGTTGGATGTGAGAATCGATTTCAAGGCATCCACTGGGTCCATAGCACATATATTAATTCTTGTATCGATTTCACTCCAATTTCAATTCTCGATTTTAGGTTACAGTTCTGTGATTGGTTCATTTCTTATGTCTTACTTAAGCATAAGCACAAAAGCTTGAAGTTTGCAAGATTTTAAGTTAACGTCTTACGTGTTATACTAATGCGAACGCATTGTGAATGAGTTCGCTTATGGACGTAGTCCTAAGTTTTATGTTAACGCCATGCTTATGTTTATGTTTGCATTGTGAATGGGCTTTAACGAAATGAGTGTGGGGGAGCCAGCAAAACGTTTGTTCGAGCTCCTTTTATAAATGTGTAGAGCAAACACCGGTAGTGTCAGTACCTTAAATAATAAAAATAGGCCCTCTTTTACCCGGGGTCACTGCCTGTGGCTCCTGTTGCCTACCTGCGATAAGATTTCGACGAGTCGCGCTCCGCGAGCGGCGCAGCGCGCGCGCGCGTCGGCCGCCGACAGCGCGGCCGGCGGGAGCGCAGCGAAGCAGCGGCCCGCGTGGTTCAACTCGCCGGGGCGGCAGAGCGAGGCGTGGTTGCGCACGCAGCGCACCACCGCCGCTTGGCTGGAGGGGTCGCAGCGGCCGCGCGCGGGCGTCACCCAGCAGCGCCCCAACGCCGCCTCCACGCCCGAGCACTGCACGGCGTCCCAGGCCACCCGGGCGTCGGCGGCCGCGCCGCCCTGCCACGCCGCCTCCGCCCCCCTGCGCAAGCGGCGAACAATTCATTGGCTCCGGACGCGGCAAAGACTCACCTGCAATCCTGCAACTGCAGTGCTTGTATATCCCGGGCGTTGGGCAATTGAATCGTTTATTTCAGAAAACATCAAACGCCAACATCTAAAACACGTATTAGCGGTGGATTATTTCTCCAAGAGGATAGACACATCGGTCAGTGCATATTTATATGAAGAATATTCATTTAATTGAATTCAGAAAAATTGGGAGACATCCTCAGTTTTCTCGAAATGAGGAATTTGGCGTTTGACGAGTTTCTGAAATAAACGATTCAATTGTCCTTACTCCCTATTAGTAGCAGGCCCTTTCCCACTTTTATGAAACTCTCTCTCTTGTTACCATGACGACGACGTGAGGCTGCAGACGAAAGCAGCTCCTCACCAGCAACCTAATTTTTTCCCCAAAGAGATAAAAGGAAACTTAACAGAATGGCACACGTCCCATCTTCCTTGAACTTTCTGAATTTTCGTAAATTGCAAAGGTTTCAAATAATGCGACGAAGTATGTGCTATTGTACATCAGTAGATATATGCTATTTACCATCCAAAATATGGTTTTTAGTATGATTCCAAAATGTGTAAATTGCAGGAGATGATAACGGTAGAAATGCTTGTATCCTATTGACGTCCGTACAAGTATGTAGTTCCAATAGGTCTTTTCAATATTTGGAGCATGGTGAGTGCAAAATGCATGTTTGAAAATCTGAGAAATATTTTGCTGCATGATACCTTCACACTTAGAGAATAGTTAAAAGAGCACAAACAATTTAGTGAACTCTAATCGTAAGTGCATTTGAACAGCATTCATGTGGAAAACTCGTTCTATTCACAGACAGAAATGCGCCCCAAAGAAGTTACGTGAAACATTCTATGATCGTCTTGCCAAATTGAATTCTGCTTAGCCTGGGACTTTCAAACAGAGACTAGTTATAGCGCCAGTACGTCTGTTTCACAGAAGAAAAAGAAAAGAAACAAAAATTTCTATTATCAGCTTACGATTGCATCCTACCATTAGCTCCGAACCCAATTTAATACTAGAATTAAAATGATCTTAATATGTATACAGTGAATATCCATTGTTGTAGCTCTACGACACACCATGACATATGAAACAATACGTTAAGTGATTTTCTGTCTTCCGAACAGCAGGTAAGAAACGGCTCAACTTGTATTTAATTTTCTTATTGGTTAATTATACATGTTTTCATTTTCATTTATTAATTTCTTGCATAAATTTACTAAATTACTGTAGGAATAAATGATTTACCACTCTACTTCCCATTTGCTCTCTCTCTCTCTCTCTCTCTCTCTCTCTCTCTCTCTCTCTCTGTCATTTGTTGTGTTATGTTAATTTCTTTTTTAAAACTTGAAATTACCTATCTATTAGTTCATAACTTAATGTTTGATATTTTATATGTTTTTGTATCAGTGATGATGGCTAGCCATCAAAAGCTGCTCTTGTATTAAATAATAAAGTTGGCCAAGACAACGCTTCTAAATATTTTTATCGTTTGAAACGACCCCGAATCCCGGACATCCGCACCTGTGAAAGCCCAGCTGTCGACACGCCACGGCCGCTTCGCTGAGATTCCACTGGCCTGCTCCGTCGCAAATGAGCCCCCAGCCGCCGTTGGCGCCGGCCACCTCCACGAAGCCTTCCCAGGGGGAGGGGCCCCCTCGCAGCCGCAGCGCCTGCCCCGTGGGGGGCGCGGACGGCGCCGGCGCCATGGAGGGCGTCGGGGCCTCCGCTGGGGGGTGCGGCCTTCGCGCCGTCGGCGACGGAGACGTGGCTGCCGACATCGTCGTCCCCCGTGGCGCAGAGGGCCGGTTGGTCGGTTCATAAGTTGCCGTCGGGTTGTTTGGCAATGGAATTCTTTGACGATAGGTAGTCGGAATGAGAATAGTTCGTTCCGTTGCGAGAAACGTTCTGGGAGTCGTAACTCTGTATAAGAAGTTCGTTCGAGTTGTTGGAAGAGTCGTTGGGGTTGTTATTGCTGGAAGATGGTTTCGTAGAGTTGAAACTTGTTCGTTTGTTGAGGGCGTTTGTTGTTCTGGAGGTTGCCCTCGATTGGTTCTTTTTGACGAGTTATCGTGAGAACCTATGAAAAGAAGTAACATTACTAATTCTCACCACTACCTTTTTTTCGCATTGTCTTCGATTCGACTGCAAATTGAAATCCTGTACTACATAAACTGTGGGGAAAGTAATTTAAAGCCCACAAATAATTCATGGCATTGAAGAACGCAAGTGGATGGGACGTGTACTTGTTTTAAGCTGAATGTTAACTTCAGATCTTTGCTCAGTATAAAACATGGGTAAATCAATCCCGAAAATTTCAAAATATTGCTGAAGGTTCAAGGTTATTATGAGTACGTTATGTAAAGATTAAAATGTATTTATGAAAAGGAAGGAGAAAATAGGGATAATCTCTTTTAGATAATTAATATCGTAGATAGCAATGAAACATAACTAATTTTTTGTGCTAAAATACCCCATAAAAACTTCATTCCCAATTAAATTATGGCCATTTAAGTTTACGAACCTGTTTGGTTGCATTTCACTCTGTACGGAAAGTCGCACACCAATATTCGAGGGTTGAACACTGTGCCCGGGCCGCACTCCTGCACGAAGGGCGCGCCGTTCCAGCAGTTGAGGAACTTGCGGCAGTCGGTGGGGTGCGGCGCGAGGCCGCTGAAGGCGCGCCCGGGGCATCGGGGGGGAGGGGGGTCGCGGGGCTCCGCCGGAGGCAGCGCCGTCGCAGGCGGCGGAGGCGGGAGCTGCGCCTGAGGCGGCGGGTGCGCGGCTGGGGGCGGCGGCTGGAAGGCGGGCAGCCGGCGCCCGGCGCGCGCGGGCTCCGAGGCCGCCTGCGGCAGGTCGGCCTCCGGGGGGTAGTCCGACAGCGGCGCCCCGCCCTCGCAGTGAACCTTGTGCGGGTGGTCGCACTCGCGTGTGTCCGCGTTGAAGAGCGTGCCCGGCGCGCACGCCTGCACGAAGCCGCGCCCGCGCCAGCAGTTGACGAAGCGCCTGCAGTCCGGCAGGTACGGAAAGGCGCCGGTCGCCTGCGAGGGGCACTGCCCCGCGCCCGAGGAGCGCGCGGGTGGCCGTGAGGGCGCGGGGGAGGGGGGCGGAGGCGCGGGTGACGACGCTGCGCGGGCTGGCGCAGGGAGTTGCGACCACGTCGGTAAACCGTCGCTTGGCCGCTCTCCGTTCTCTGCATGCGGTCGTTCAGAGGGCGAGTAATTATTTTCAACGTACTCGTAAGCCGGTCTCAGGGAGCTAAAAATGGGTGGCGTGTTAGTCGGTCGCTGAATATGTTCAAGCCCAAACGTGGAATGCCGAAAAGGAACTTCAGTCGTTGATAGACCAATGAATTGTTTTTCCTGATGAATTTGACTGTCGGGCGGGGAATATTCTTCGCGATCGGAAGGTCCATTTGTATAGTAGTCAGAATCATTATCATCACTAACATCGTCATTGTAATTGAACGGTGACGAATATTTAGTAGGTTTTTTATTTATTGGAGGATCTTTAAATTTTTCGTCCTGAAACTGGCGTGGATGTTTCTCTTTCGGAACCTTAGTTACGCTTGAATCAATTATCTCCTTTCTATTAGGAGCAGAATTATAAATTTTGGTTTTCTGTGTAGGCCCATTATTTTCTATAACGTCTCGCTGGGCGAAAGTCTCTTCGTGGGGAGGATTGGTCTCGGGTCTGACAAGAACTTCAGGCTGTTGTCGGACTGACGAGTAATGCGAATGAACGACGTGATCTGAGTCGCGAGAAGGATTCTTTCCCTTGTGCGAGGATGGAATATAATCGTGAGGGCCTACATCCGAAGTAAAGAGGCCGGAGTCAGGCGATTCGAACTGATTTTTGCTTTCAAAAGGCCAATTATCCCGATTCAAGTACTGCAAGTCGGTGCTATACGGTTGATGCATTCGACGTGCTGTGGGTAAACCATCTCCAGCTTGTGAATGGGAATTCCTCTGGACCCTCCGATGGCTCGCGGATCCAGAGCTCTGAAAACATAGAAAAATATATTGATATCAATTAATCAGATAAATCAGAACTAATACATATGACTATTAATGATTGGAATCAATCATCTTTTGATTGTCTTCAATTAACCATATAATGCTGATTGTGCCCACAGATTTTTACACAATCAATTCACCAAGTATGGCATTAACAATCTTTCTCAACAACACATATGTTACACGTAGGTTTTCGTGAGCACGAAGATTCACATGCCACTTAAAATACATTTACTTATTTATTCTATTAGGCTCTATCGAAGAAAATAGATTTAGTAAAGCAATTTTCGCTTTCAATGTAAGAACATTTGCTTCAATGAAATGGTATTTAAAATCGGTTTAAGAATGCCACAAACTCCTATAAACACCTCGCTTTTTCACCTGTTTACTTCTTTTTAGAAACTAAGGAGTAAATATTATTTAGTCATTTAAAGCACCTTAACTCAGAATTGCAATAGTTTTTATTGATACAAAATGTGCTTATTAACGACGTAAGAGATATTTAAAAAAATATATTTGTACAATTTTTAAAAACCAAAAATATCCCCAAATCAACTTTATGTCTTATTAAACAGTGCATTTTGCATTACCCATACAAAACGTTTGGAGCTTTTCAAAAACTCAAAATATTTATGTGAAAAAGAGCTTTAAATTTCGCATTTTCAGTAACTATTAAACGCCATTTTCTTAAAAGCATCTCAATTTTTTTGAACAAAAATTTCCTTATTTTAGGAGCTTTTACTCTTCTGTAATATTATTAAAGTAATATTCTACCGTTAGAATCGAAAAATTAAGAAATTGATTTCAAAATGTAACTTGGACGGCGATAGATAGCTGGCCAGAGGATTGAACAAGAGATTTCGCTACTTCAACGGTATTACACGTTTTGGGGTCCTCTGATACCGGAAAAGTGTTTTTTTTTCAAAATGTCCGTCCGTCTGTCTAGTGTAGGTAAATAACCCTAGCGCCTAAACTATGCATACAATTTTTTCCAAACTGATTAAACCCTTGTCGATCTGGCATGCGTCAAAGCTCTGGGATTTTGAAAATCATTCCTTAATTTTTGGGGGTACTTTACGTCAGATCTCGGGACATTTTCAAAATTTTCTCAAAAAGTTGCAAATTTAAAAAAAATGAATTAAAATGTGAAATGAAATGAAAATGTGAAAAATGAATTAAAATTGTGAAATGAAAGTAAAATGCAATTATAAAGATCGCATAGGTCAGAGTTTCACTGATAACTCTAAATATTTGAAAATTGCAAGATATTTATATTTTCATCGTCTTCCTACAACTCCTACAACTACAAAGATTTCAAAATTTTCTCGAAAACGGCTCTACATTTTTTCTTTAAATTTCTTGTAAGAATAAAGTTAAATACAACTTTATAGAATGTATAGGTCTGTTTATCACGGTTAACTCTGAATTTTCGAATATTGCAAAAGTTTGAATACCTTTTTTGGCGTCCTACTACAACTACAAAAGTTAAAACAGAAATGTTTCCTTCAAATAAAAGTTGTTTTCCATTGTGAGTTCTTTCATTAAGGTCATGTAAATGTTTCTTGAAAAATTTCCTAACATTCGCGCAATATTCTGAGCAATATGTGCAATTAAAAAAAATTCAAAACAAGATTTTCTCAAAACCTGCTAAACTAGTAAAGTTTTCAAAAAAAATGTACATGACCTTAATGAAAGAACAAATTATGGACAACACATTTTATTTGAAGGAAAAATCTAAGGAACTTTATGTGGTTCAATGTATTCTGACAACCAAAAGCCCGAACCTTCAATTAGCCAGCGGAGGTCTGATGAAACCCCCGAAGGGTTTAGTAATGCCAACTGGCGATCGGAGGGACCCATCCCCATGGGGGGAGGGTGCCCCGTTGCAACTGTGGGGCGCAGTAACGGATGACAGCAAATAGCCCATTGGTTAAGTGTGATCTGTGAACTCGAATTTGCTTCCTGCGAAACTTCACATAAACCAATGAGCAAAATGGATAGAACAAGAAGTGTAATGAATTTGAATGTGCCTTGTTCTAACAATATCCCATACCTGCTCAGAAAACGAGCTTATTTCACTTTGTCAACGTCTGGCTATCCCACGGATGTTAGCCCCAGGGACCCAGAGCCGGCAGTAGCTCGAAGCCTTCGTCAGAGAAGGACTTAGGATAAATTGAAGGAAGTGATACGATGCTTTTACTACGCAAAGGCGAAAAATGGGGGCTCAAAATCAGGGAAATGGAAGTTTACAAGATACAGAGAGAGTGAAATCCTGATGAGAGACCTACCCTAGATTCAAAGAAGCTTGCCAGTCAACGACGATACACACTTCACAGTGGAAAAATTCACAGCAGAACAACTTGCTGATACTCAGAGTGGTGGAACTTCATCTGACTATGAATCACACAATAAGGGCATAATCTTCAACGCGAGATGGAGTTCGTCTACTTCTATTCAAATCTCGTGCTCCGTGAGGAATATACGAAAATGCTAAAGTTAAGAAAGTGATAAAGTAAATGAGGTGGTACAGGCCGAAGATAGAGATCTACATATTACTGAAATCAATCCCATCGTATATGCAATTGGATATCTGGTAAATCAGATAATTTTGGGATCAGCCAAGAACATCGATGGCCGGCAGCCAGACAGAGTAAAAGCTCTGTACCTGTATGGGCGAAAAGAATTATGAAGCGGATAGCAACACTCGCCGTGAAATATCATTCTTAGACGATGCATCTTCTCAATCAACGCACGCGTCTAAAATTCAACGAAAAATACTCCACGTTGATACCAAATGCGAAATTCAAAATGTCATAACGAGGCTAATGGAAGCTGAGAAGCTAAAAGAGAAAATCCAAGCAAGGGATCAACGAATTAGACGTTTCAAACATAGAGTAGATTTCCGGCTACAGAATCAGTTTGAAACAGACGTGAAGAGATCCTATTGCAATCTGACTCAAAATTTGAATGGCAATACCGAATGGAATTCTTCAAAATATGACGCGTAACATTTTGGACGCAAATCTGGGAAGAAAGCAGATCCTACAAGACACAACTTGACGTCCGTCCGAAGTTGATGCTGCCGATGAACTTGTGGAAACAGTGAAACATGTTTACTAATTCTCGGAAGAGAGCCTCTTCCACGCAATTAGGAACATGTGAAACTGGAAATCCCCCGGGATTGATAAAATCCAGAATTATTGGATTAAGAAAATAACAGTATTACATTCTCATATAGCAAAGACTGTTTATACCATTTTATAAACCCTAAAGGAACTCTCAGAATGCCTCACACGCAGCATCAATTATTTGCTACTCAAAGCGGGAGACGGTTCTTTAGCGAATAGCTGTAGGCCAATCACTTGTCTGCCAGTAATGTACAAAGTTATAAATGCAGCTATAGCTAACAAATTGTACAATATCTAGAGAAGAAAACAATTGTTGCCAGTTGAACAGAAAGGATGTCGTAAAGGTTAGTATGACTATAAAGAAATCTTGCTGCTAAATAAAGTCATCTTGAATGATGCAAGGAAACGAAAACGTAATTTAAGCATGGCTTGGATTGAATATCAGAAGGCTTTTGACTGTAACATAGGATTGGATTTTAAAGGCCCTGGCTTCATTCTAGTCTTAATGAGTTTTGCGAGGCTAGTATGACGACAAGTGCCAGGTTACTAATGCACAGCGGAAAGGATGTGGTAGAAACAAGAAGTATTCATCTTAATAGGGGAATTTGCCTAAGAGATTCGCTAGCCCCTCGCCTGTTTTGCATTAGTTTGATTCCACTATCAAGACAGCTGCTGCACACTGACTGGTTACAGGCTTCATGGTGATGAAATACCAGTATCACATTTGTTTTACATGGGTGATCTTAAAGTGTTTGCTAAGAATGAAGCGATTCTCTCCCAACTGCTGCCTGTCATCAATGATTTTACCAAGACATCTGCATGACGTTTCGTCTTGTCGAGTCTGCAAAAATAAATTTAAAGAGAGGCAAAATGACAATGTTAGAGAACATTGAAGTTGATATGCACACTGTGATTCAAGGAATTGAGCCAGATAAAACTTACAAGTTTTTGGACAATGAGGAAGGTGAGATCATCCCGAACAATACAATGAAAGAGAAAATTCGCAGGAAGTATTATAGAAGAGAGACTTGTCCTGGAATCCGCTCTGAATTCCAGGAATAAAATATCTGCAATAGGAACTTTGGTGGTGCCTGTAGCCGAATACAGTTTCGGGCTAGTGGACTGGACTGGGCAAGAAATTCGAACCATTGATCGACAATCCAGGAAACTGTTTACAATGCGACGTCACCCACTCTCGAGCTGATGAACATACAAGACGTGTGTCACGTAGAGAAGGAGGAAGATATCTCACACAAATTGTAGCCTCCTGGCGCAATGTAATAATAGTCGGGATGAGAAAGTACGTAGTCAGTCATCAAGATGACCCTGTAATGAGGCAAGCCATTAAATCTGATCGAAGATTCCTGTTTTCCTAAATCTGATAGAAGAATGCGAAACGGAGGCATTGTAAGTGTGGCCAGAAGCATTGCGAAGAAAACTATACAAGACACGCAGAATAACATACGACAATGAACTTCTCATGCTACTTAAATGAAAAATGAATCACAAAACATGTTAAAGAAATCGTGGGGAGACAAACCATTCCATGGACAATATCTCAAAAGAATTGACAAGGTGCAGATCAATTAAGATTTTAAAAAATTATGTTGCTTAAAAGGGGAAGAAGCCAGAATCGGAAGTAGTTGTAATAGTTGCCCAAGATCAGGAGTTGAAAATACTTTATGATAAAGTTGTTTTCAAAATTTCCAAGGAATATAAATTTGGAATTGCCAGGAACATGGAGAAACCATTCATCATATCGTCTCAGTTGTACAATTCTAGCAAAGACCGAATACTTGAAAAGACACGTCAGGGTGTGTAGTTACCTCCATTGGCAGATCTGTATCGCCCTCGAAA